AAAATACAGAAAACAACACGGAAATCTCCACCGAGTTCGGTCGAGCGGACCGCCCGCCCCGCTTGCGCGGGGCCCGGGACCCTCCGCTCCCGGCGGCGGCGGCGAGACCGGTCGCGCGCCCCTGGCGTCCTCGCTACCTGGTTGATCCTGCCAGTAGTCATAGGCTTGTCTCAAAGTTTAAGCCATGCACGTGCAAGTTTAAACTGTCTCAGTGAAACTGCGAATGGCTCATTAAATCAGTTATGGTTCCTTTGATCGTCACATCCTACATGGATAACTGTGGTAATTCTAGAGCTAATACATGCGGAAGAAGCGCCGACCTCACGGTCTGGCGTGCATTTATCAGACCAAGACCAACCCGGGGTTCGCCCCGGTCCCTTTGGACTCCGGATAACACAGCCGATCGCGCGGTCTTCGCACCGGCGACAGATCATTCGAATGCCCTATCAACTTTCCGGGAGTGTATATAAAAGACAAATAGATGTTATATACACACCGGGAGTGTATATAAAAGACAAATAGATCTTATATACACACCGGGAGTGTATATAAAAGACAAATAGATTTTATATACACTCCCGGAGTGTATATAAAAGACAAATAGATTTTATATACACTCCGGGAGTGTATATAAAAGACAAATAGATTTTATATACACTCCGGGAGTGTATATAGCCACGTTCAAAAAAATATATATACTCAAAGATGTAATCAACGATAAACAGAGCTGCACAATAAGATTTTTGACTCCCATTAAAACGTGTCACCATTGCCAGTAATTGTTATAATGATATTACTTCTGTCCTTTTGCTAGTGGTGCCAAAAGCAAATGCCTTGAGTGGCCTGATTGGTCACTATGGGGACAGTGATGAGGAGGAAGAGGAGAAAGACACCAGGGAAACTCAGCCAAAGCCACAACCAATCAGTGGTGAGTTTGTATGGTTTTGTTTTACATTGTATGTATATCATATGTATTATCTTATGAAGTTATGGCATCACTGTTTTTCTTCTTCTTCAAATAAATAAGGTCAATGACCTGAACCAGACGTCTGTCACCATGGTAAATAGTTTGGGTTAAATTATGTTGCAATTTTATAGCAGGAGGGATTTAGGCTCCTTTCAGTTTCACCATATATAATATTAAGAATTAACAGAGCAGACCATAGGCGAAGGTAAACATGCATTTGCTTTGCTAATGTTACTTTTCTAGTTAGTATTGCCTTTTGACATTCTAAGAATCAATTAATGTTGCTCAGTTATATTTGTCTGTATCATATAAATTTGCTGCTTCAGCAACAATAAATTACATGCACGCTGCTTCAATGGGTAAACGGGAATTTAACTTTCCTTCTTCCTCACTGATATCCCCATTGACAATACATCCATGTATAAAATGCAATGTTTATGTAGAAAGTTTTTGCATATCTGTTGATGCAAGATGGACTGTCCCATTTTTTTGTCTCCAGCTCCTCCTCCAGTGACAACTCAGCCGAAAAAGCTCCCCCTGGCAGCTGGCAAAAAAGTGAAGGGCAGTGATGACATAGATTCCAAAGTAGCTGATTTCCTAGCAGTAAGTCAGTTTTGTCAGCCACATGGTCATATCCATTCAAAATAAATAAAGTGAAAATATTGCTGACATTTTTTCCTAAATTCTTAATCTTACTAGTACACATACTTCATATCCACACAAAATTTGTCTTCCCAAACCCTCTAATACATGTACAAGTAAATCCCCTTGAAATTTACATGTATCTGCTATTGAATGCTGTATTTGTGTATTGTGTACCTGCTTGACATGACATGTGATTAAATCTCACTTCAAGAAGTATCAGGATAGTCCTTATTGTCAGAATTCCTGTTACGATTATTATCGATTCATAATCATAATTTCCTTTTCTAGGAAATTGATGCCCTAGATGTGCCTGAAGCTGATGATGCTGAAGTTGATTCTGGAAAAGTGGGTGAAACAAAAGAAAACCAAGCTACAGCAGCAGCTAATGCCGAGGCTACAACAACAGAACCAGTGGCAGTGGCTCCCTCTGTAGACCCAGAATGTAAGAAACACATGTACACACTAAGTAACCATTGTTTGGTGCAGTGGTCAACAAAGCTGTTAATATATTATTTTGAGGACATATTTCTCATAGGAGTTCTATAATTTCTCATATGTGCTTGAGTAAGACTTTAAATAGATGTATTTAACCTTCAACTTTATTAGCCCGGAGTCCAGCCTTCTTAGGTTTAATCTACACCCTAAGACCCAGCAAGGTGGCAGACTGAAGTTGACAATACTGGACTCCAGGCTACAACTATGTTAAAAGGTAGAATCTTTCTGCATCAAGGCTACTACATATGCTATCTTGTAGTTGTATTACCTGAGATTGTGTTGTTTTTTTTCCTTAGTGGCTAGAGAAGCCCAGGAATGGCAGGAGTGTTTAGACGAGGGTACAGGGTGTGTGTACTACTGGCACACTGTCACCAACGAAGTCCAGTGGGAGATCCCAGCCATCGTCAAGAAGTACTACGATGCCGCTACCCAGGCTGCACTGGCCACTGGGCAAGAAGGCGTCACGACAGAAAATGGGTAAGTATAGATGATGGGTTGGTGTTGAGAGGATCCATTGACACCCGTATATACTGTGGGCCCAGTTGTTTATCTTATGAACAGTGATCATAATGTTTACCGAAGGAAACATATTGTTTTTGCTGTTTCTTCTTCCGTTACAAGCACTAACAAGCTGGTCAATGACCTGAACTAGACCATCTGTCACCATGATAACTGGTGTTGGGTTACATAATGTTGCAATTTTATAGCAGGAGGGATTTAGACTCCTGTCCCAATATATGTGAATGTGCTAAGAACTAACAGAGCAGGCCATATGGGAAGGTAAACATTATGCAATTACTTTGCAAATGTTACCTTGTCTTGCATTTTTGAGCACAATCACATGAGCATGTGTACATTTTCATACTTTTCTAACTTCTCGGCAGTACTAATTAGTATCTCCAATAACAATTTGTAGACTGTTAGTGAGCAAAAATCAGTGATAATGGTGTTTTACTTTTAGACTAAAAACTTCTTGAAATCTGCTTCCCTGCAGTACCAGTGCTGTATCAGAAGAGGGCGCTGCCCCAGAGCCAGACACACCAGCTGCTGAAGAAACTCAGGCTAAACAAGCAGCAAAGATTCCAGCAATTCCAGAAGAAGGTACGCTAGCTATTAATATATAGTATTATATATAGTGTTTCCTTCTTTTCCAGAGCAAAAGTTGTTTATACTATAGTGAGAAATTTAAAAAAAATGTTCTTTTTTAATTGAAATTCTGACAAAAACTGATTCAGACTTACTGATATTAAAGAGCATATCTGGTATAAAACATGGCAGCACAGTTTTGTCTGCTTCAAACATCTTGACTATGAAATTTCTTTCTAAAGAATTTCCATTGGCCAAAGACGAGGAACCCCAACCCCCAGCACCACAGGTGTCTCTACAAGATGGCGGCACCGCCTCGGTAACCGGCGCCGACTCGGGCAGTCCGGACCCTGCGGAGGACGGCCTGTCCTTCATCGGTCCTGTACTCCCCTCCCACCTCCAACATCTCGCTGCCAAACCTACAGACGAAGATGTGGACGGGGTAGAGCTACAGCAGGAGGAAGACAGGTGACTGTTTATATAGTGTTGTTATAGCTTTGATAATCTGTATGGTATGTGCCTTACTCAAGATAACTCAAGTAGCTGAATGGATTGTAAAATGCTCAGATGTTTCAGGTAGCATGCACAACTTTTTGTTAGTGACTGAAAGTGTAGTCAAACAGGTATATACGTATATGTATATAAATTATCCTTACTGTATAGACTACAGGTTATAGAAGAAGATACCAGACATACATGTATATGGAAGTAACTTTCCTCGATCAACAATGAAAACCTCTTAACACTTAAGTTTTGTTTGTTATGCCTAGGATGTATTGCTACATGTACATGATATTGTATAGAAAGGTATGTCTTGCCCCCTCAGTTCATAAATGGTCTTGAAAGCAGTAATATAAATGCAATTGTTACTTCACAGCATGGACACAGCATCCCCCTTCCAACCAGCTGCAGAACCCGATGGGACAGCGACGCCCCCTACTGAAGATGTTGATCCTAACACCCTGCCTCTGGGTACAAGGAGAGTCCCAGCATTTAACAACACTCTAACAACAGCAGCGGTACCTACAACTTCTACAACAGAACCAGCTCAAACAGAAGACATGGAGGAGGAGGAGGAAGAGGATGAAGAAGAATTTGACATTGACAAGCAGCTTGACCTTGCACTTGAGAGGAAAAAGGTAGATTTAGCAACATGCAACAGATTACTGTAATTGCATTTAGGAGGAGAAAAGTGTTTGAAGTTACATGTAGTGGTCAAAACAATTCTTTAGTACAGTAGACCTATCGACTACAGGGCTCAAGGTACATGTACCACCTGCATATGCAGGTTAATACAGGTAACATTGGAGCTGTGCAGTTATTTATGTTGTCTAACCTGTACTGGGCCATGTGCTGGGTTTATATACAAGTGCACAAGTGTATGTGGAATTCTATTTGCTGTATTAACTGTTACCACCTACAATATTTAAAAATGTACATGTATGAAGGAAAAAAAAAGAAGTAAATGATAATGATTTCTGAACAGCTTCTAGTATGATCCTAAATTCTCAGAGTGGTGGAGGTTAAATTTGTCTAGTGCTGGTAATTTTCAATGTTATCTTCACCAGTGCAGGTATGCAGCAAAAAAGCATTTCTAGCCCTGTTCTAACTAAGTTTATAACTGAAAATGTGATGAAAACGTTGTAACATTATAACCGAGAGTACCACACATCCATCAGGATGTTGTGTCCACCTCACAGGCAGAGTTACAGCAGGATGATGGGGACCAGGGGGAGGGGGGCTACTCACCGGCCTTGTTACTGGCAGCCGCGAAACAGAAGTCCAGTCGGCCGACAACTCCCACGGTCACAAGGGACGCATCAACACAGTGTGAGGAAACAGGCGGTATGTGTACTTCTGCATCTTGTTTTAACTACTGTTGTATTTCTGTATCTGTATCACTATAGCCGGTATAACCGCCCCTCAGCGTAACACACCAGCTTCGCAAGCACGCGGCATGGGGGCAGCTACCTATATCACACCTAACGACTTGTTACACTTAATCCTTGCACATATCACATTGAACGACTTGTTACACTCAATCCTTGCACATTTCACTTCTTAAAAATTTATTCATTTTTACCTGTCTTTCCATTAAAAAAATTACAAAGATACTAGTTGGTACGTCAATGACTGTTAGACATCCAGGTAATATGATACACCAAAAAGCAGTTACTCAAGCAACTTCCAAAATCATATCCAGTTGCTTGAGTAACTGTTTTTTGGAATAAAGATACTGGTAATCTGTGACCAACTATGTTTGTCAAGTTTGTATGTTTTTGACAATGAAACAGCTGACTAGGGTAAGCACAGGCAGTCTATGCTAGTAATGGCTGACCCACAGATTTACAAATATAATGCAACAAAACAAACAAATTAGGATCATTCTAATGTTTAAATGCTAAATGCAAGATTGTGAAAAGTTAAATGGATTAATGAAGTGGATAATGTATTTAGAACTAGTAGTCCTTTTTTTGCTGTTGGATGATTTTTTAATGATCATTTTGCACATTTACAGGAGAGGAGGATGGTGACTTACTTGACATGGGTATGTACTAGTACTGTTATACGAGTGGGGGTAATCCATGTACATGTAAGTTGTAGGAATAGGGTAAAGAAGTTTTGACATAGGAATGATTATATAAATGTAGGTTCTCCTTAAATTTGATGACTCGAAAAAGGTATATAATAAGAAAGATATTTGAAACTAGTATAGTGAACTATGTTATTAATTATGTGCATTTATTATACCAGTACCAGTTTGCCTATATAGTTTCCATGTATAACATCTGCATGAAAGTTATTTTCCATCAGAAAAGCATAGAGATAAGGTGTAGAATTTTTATCCCCATGCATAAACTACATTAAGTATGCAAACTAACTAATGTGTAACTTTCCAGCCTCAAGGAAAAAGGCTAAAGAAGAAAAAGAATTAAAGGTAAGTTCTTTTTTTGTTATATTAAAGCTGTTCAATTTTATTGCTTTGTTGAAAATGCCCTAAAATTCAAGTAAAAAGCCAAGAATAGAAAGAAATAAAGAATAGCAATTTCCACTATTCCTGATCCATTTCTTACTCAGAATTGTATATTTCCCCACATACAGACAGAGATATCTGAGCTGGCTTCCACCATCGGTGCCAAGTTAGAGTTCCTGAACATCGCCAGGAAGCAGCTCAGTAAATTTCAAGTGCTGCTTATAGAAATGGAGGTAAGACATAAATGTAGTGGTTTGGGTAGATCCGAATACATGTATGTTGTATCAGTCTTTAGGTCTCTTGCCATTTAAAGTTTCATTTTTAATGTAAAATTCTTCAATGCAAAATGACTTTCATGTTGCACTCAGAATGCCATGCAGGTATTATATTGAACACTCAAACAAGTCTGATGAATACAGGTCTTAGTTATTATGAGTTACATGTACAGAAACACATACAAGTCTATTGTATACAGATGTACATTAAATTTTGTAGTTAATTTCAGGCACAGAAAGTGTTGTTTTAGTTGGCGAAGCTGTGGGGTTGAGTGTCTCTTAATAAAAAAAAAAGCGCATGGATGGGGAAGATAGACAGGTACAATGACAGGTATGGGACAAGAAATGGGTGAACTTGAAGGTCACAAAAACCCAAATACTTCAATCTCATAAGTCTAAAATTCCCTGTTACTGAACTTTTCTGACGATGAGCGCACTGGACTCCAGGAAGAATAGTATGAAATTTACCATACTAATATAATAAATGGAGATCTCAATGAACAAACAAACAAACAAATACATCTTTCTGTACAGACCAGAATCCTGGACTGGCGTGAGGGCGGTCTGGAGTCCAGGCATCTCCTCCGCAAGCTCAAGGAAGCCGACTGGCAGTTTCAGAATTACGAACTCCACGCGGCCCCACGGGGATGGACTTGCCACTGGGACAGGTAGGGAAAAGATTTTGGAATTTTTTCGGCAAAATTTAGAGAGGAAAAAAAAGCAAACTTTTCCCGGTGTCTCAGAGAGTGTCCAATATGCACTTCTTGCCACATGCCATGTGTGTTTCTCCTTCCACCAATCAATGAAGCCCTAGAAAACTGAGATTGACAGAATGAGAGAAAGAGACGAGTGGAGAGAAAAAATGAGATTCCAGGCATCAGAAAACAAGACCCACGTTCAGCAACACTGGACTGCAGCATGAAGGGGTGTGAAGTCAAGATGGCAGACAGATATTGAAGTTCTTGGTACCCAGGAAAAGAAATTTTAAAATCATGATTGGTAGAGGACTAGCCCCTACGTAAAAAATGGTTTGGTGTTCTGCAATATGTGTTGAGCAAGCCAGGAAATTTCAACATCACGCCACAACTCGGCTTTCCCGTGAGCAACCACACAGAGCGAACAGAGCGCCGAGACTTCGCAGGAGAGTCTGGATCCATGAGGTCAGTGGTACATTATCCTCTCTACTGAAGTTGTGTTTTTATTTATCATTTTCTGATTTCTGTGACAACTACTATTTATTATAATGTTCTTCCAGGCTCCTGGTGCAAAAAGGGGGTCTGAGAGTGGGCTGGTAGTATGGCTGACCTGTACGAGTCTAGCCATATCAACTTTTCAGATGGTTGTCCCATTGCGAATCAAAATGTATGGCCAGAGAAGCTAGTATATGACTTGTGGACCATTCCAGGATGGTTTGCACATTTTCAACATCAGGGCTGTTGTGTTGGGCAGTCTTTCCCTCTAGTCTAAGGCCCTGTTAAGGGTAACATAGTGGGAGGTATATGGTGTTAACTGTGTGGTCTGTGTGTCCACTGACACAATATACACAATCTGATGTTCCCCTATGCATTGTTCTCAAACACTGCAACAGTGTTCAGAGTACACATTTGAAAATTTTGTGAAATATTAATGCTGTGGTTCTGTCCTCTTTCAGATGCTATATTTGCCCCTGAGTCCTAACCTCATCTGATGTTGTTTGCAGGGATTTTTATTGTTGTTTTTTTTCTCCTTTTACTCCTTCTCAAGCACTTTTTGAAAGTGTACGCCGGTGCTTGGCTGTGTAGGAGGGTACTCATTCTGCTGGTGTTTGTTCTTCCTCCCCCCACCCCTCCCCCAGGGCACACAGGAGGTATTACTACATGAACACGGCCACAGGAGAGTCACAGTGGGAGTACCCAGAGGGAGACGTCAGAGGGGCCGGCCAGGAGGCTGTTACCATGCCGACCATCACCACGGCAACAGGACAAGGGAGCAGCGGCCGCGGAGAAGTGACGTCGGCAAAGGCGTCCGTTTCAAGTGGTGCAGCTTTGACAGAATCATCGAGTGGAGGTTCAGATTATGCGCACCTCTACGCATTAGGTGAGGACGGCCAACCAAAAAAATATTCCTTTCAAAACGACATGGAATTTACATGAAAAAGAAAGCTTTTAAACAGCAAATTTGAATTGTATGTTGTATTGAAACTGTAACGCCTTTAATGGCTTCTTTCTTGGTTTATTTTGCAGGTCAGCCACAGGTCACCAGTATCAGTGTTGCGTCTGCCTCAGTGTCAACTGTCCCCCCCTGCCCCTGCCCCCCTCCCCACAGAATCCTTCACCCCTCTCCCAGGTGCCCCTCCTCTCCCCCCTGAACCACCCCTACCCCCTCTCCCTGATGAACCCCCACCCCCTGGGGATGAGCCTCCCCTCCCCCCTGGTACTCAGCCGGCACCCCCTCCCCCTCCACCAGACAGCCCCCCTCCCCCTCCTCCCCCAGACTCCCCAGAGGAAGGGGAGATCAGTGATGTTGAGATGGAGGATACCAAACCTGAGGAAGACACGGGGGAGACCAAACAGGACGACCAGCCAAAACCATCTTCCCAACCGGTCATCCTAGCCCAGCCGCCCATCCGCTACCAGAGCACGCACTCTGTCAGCAGCACTGTGGTTGGTCCACCCAGTGCCCCAGCAGTTATGTACGGACCAATGACCACGGCTGTAGCTGGTCCTGTCATGGGGGGAGGCCCCATGCCGTATGTAAGCCAGCCTGTGATTGGTGCTCCTGTAGCACCTGCAGTCAGCAGTGTAGCTGCATCAGCTCCACCTGCCAAGTCAGCATCACCTGGACCATCTAAGGTGAAGAAGCTGAAAAAGGTGAGGATCAGATCTAGACATTGTCCTTGGTTACCTTGTTTTATAGTCTACTGTCACATTTAGAATAAGATAGGAGATAAACAGATTCTTGTTGAATTCCTCCTAGAGATTTTCTACTTTTTGACAATAATGTACCATGTAATTATGTATAATGTACAGTGTATTTGATAAGGGTATGTATGTGTAATCAAGCGAGGGGAATTGATGTGACATTGAACCGAAGATCATCGTTATACGATGTTAAGATCAGGTTCACTCTGCACTGATTAGAAAAGAAAAAAAGAAGATATGAATGAATGTTGAATTGGATTGGATCTTTGGTATTTACATGGCTTGGCTCTGTGAAGCTTAACCTTCAATGCTGCACTTATAAAGTTGATTAAAACTGACAATTTATGAAAAATGCCCTCGAAGTGAAAACAGTAAACAATGACATATATTGTTTAAAAACATATTAATAAGCTCTATATCACTATCTGGGATCGACATACTTTTTTTCTGCATACCTGCACTAGTGCAGGTAACATTGAACATACCTGCACCAGACAAATGTTACCTGCACTACTCAGAATTTTTGGATCATACAAAAACTGCTCAGAAACCACTGCCTTGTTTCTTTTACACTTCATGTGGTGACAGTCAATGAGTTTATGAAGGTTGTCCCTCCCAAAACACCCCTATGCTGGTTGAAAGACAGCGTAGGGGTCTAAAGTATAGTATAGGGGGCCCCTATGCTAAAAAGGCCCTCCTATCTTATTCCCCAGATCAAGCGCCCAGCCGTAGCCGGAGGTCTGAAGAATAAGAAGATTCCCCACCTGGTGCAGAAGTGGCAGAAGATCAAACAGGAGGTGGAGCAGGAGCAGAAGGAGATGGAGGAGGACTCTGAGGAGGAAGACGAGAAGGTCCGCACACAGAAACGCATCGACGAGTGGAAGAAACAACAGCTGGAGAGGTCAGTATAGCCTGGGATTTCCAATGCTTTATGTCTATTTGTTATGGAAATAGACAAAGTATAGGTCATGTATAAGAAGGTTCTTAATTCAACAACTGATGTCTTGATGACTGTCACCAGGGCAATGAGGACCGCTGTGAATTGACCTCTTGTTGTTGAATAGCCTTTTTCACTTCTGGACCTTGTTGATTAAAGAATTTAAAGATTAAAGAATCATAAAGGATCAGTCTTTTATATACAAATGTATGTCAATCTTGCCAACCTGATGAAATTATTCACAGATACCACATATTTGTGATGGCCAGTAATATGTAATATCATTTGACAAGAATTATCTTCATTCCTTCTTAGCTTTCAATCGCTTTCCTTAGCAATTAGAAATGTGCACAATTTTTTCAGCCCCATAATTTATATGTTATAACAGCCAAAGATATAGAAAGGTTGGCATATCCAGGCTACCTAATATCAGGCTTGTCAGTAATATTTGCCAAGGTGCTAAGAAATCGTAGATAAGACCATGTGCAAAATATGTTTCTTCTAACCAATGTTTTTCTTCAATGATCTGTCTACAGTGGAGGAGCCGCGTACAATCCCAACTTCGAGGCGGTGACGGTGGACTGGCGGGAGCGGGTAAAACGGCGGCGGATGAATGAGGCTGGGAGCGGGAGTAACTCTCCCGTGGGATTCCTGAAGCCCGACTCATAACACTGTCCAACTGACTTCTCTGAATTTTTTGTAAACATCAGTAAGCATGTTGGCAGAATGTACTGCACCTGCGCAAAACCCATCATATTTTGTGCATAGCACTTTGGCAGAGTCTCATTTAGGGTCGTATGTAAGGATGACATCCCGTCTATAATTTTCATTTGTTATGTCGGAAAAGATGTCTGCAGTGGACGAAATTCTGATGAAATGTTGACCAATAATGAAACGAAAACCCTGAAAAATCCAGGTTTCGCAGAGGGAAAGCATGTTCTGCTGACGTGCTGACATCACACTGTCCAACTGACTTCTTGCAACATTTGTACACTTTTTGTAAACCCCTAGTTAGCACGTCGGCAGGACGTACTATGCCTGTGCAAAACCTGTACTATATCCTGCAGAGCACTTTGGCAGAATGTCTCATTTAAGGTCGTATTCGCGTATTTAAGAATGAGATCCTGTCCGTAGTTTTCAAATGTTATGTCGAAAAAGATATTGTCTGCAATGGGCCAAATTCTGATGCAGCATTGACCAAGCCTCCAAGGAAAACTATGAAAAATCCATGTTTCGCACAGGCGAAGTATTTTCTGCCAACGTGCTACACCAGTATGTAGTGTTGGTACAAGACTTGTCTGTGGCTTTTGGAGGAGCAAAACTCATTTTTGGTGAGTTTTTCAACAATGAATATTATTATACATTGATACCTTAAACAGTGTCTTCACATCAATGACTTTGAAATTACAAAAATCAATTTGTTATACAAATCGGTTAATCAAGGGCATCAATTATATTCGTAAATGCTTAGTGTTACAGACAAGAAAATCAATTCAAAAAGATGCAATTCTGTACTTAGTATGTACTACAGTAGTTATTTGCCACATTATGTGTACTCAGCATCAGTATCTTGCAGATATTTTCTCAAAATTACTTATTAAATCTGCAAGGACAAGTGATGTTCATATATAGAAGAATTTATGATATAAGTTATAAGTTTATTGTAATGGTGGTGGTTGTGTACATCAGAACATGTAGTTGTTAAAGTGCAGAATCATAGTCCGGATTATTACAAATTGAGTCTTCTCCGTGAAAAATATTATGGCTGACTTCATTTTACAACATTGTGGGCAGGTTTGCTGCAGTTACTAGTATCTTGGTGGACACAAAGGACAACATAACTTGGCCAAGATGCAAACATCTAAATGATGGAAACTCAGTTCTCAGCAGTTGCTCATATTTGATCCAAGTAAAATGCCATCTTATTTTTAAAGAAGCCAACCCCATAACATTAGAAAGCTGGCAATAGATGTACATGTACATGTACTGTAGCATTAGGTAATGGCTATTCCATTTAGAATGTTCATGGGGACGTAAGATTTTGTTTTCCCCCCATGCACTTTTTAAATGGGATGGCCATAATATATGGTGAAGTTCTGTATGCCACCTGCCTTATTGGTCACTGCTATGTAGTGATGTCTTTGTACATGCCACATGTAAGTCTTACAAAAAATAAATACTATGAGCTGACAAGTAGTGTTAAAAGAAGTAATTTTATTCATAGGTCTTAAAGCTCCGAGCTTTAGGTTTGGAAATAGAATATGTCACAATTTGGTACTTCATCCATGATATTAGTGGTACACAGTGTAAGTGTAGGTTGGCCATTTAGAAACGTTGTTACTGTGTATTTAAAACGTGAGATTTGTGAAGATACGTCAACGTCAGTGATTGGTGCACAGGGAGCAGAAGTTGTTTGGCAGAAGTTGATTGGCAGGTGTAGCTTTCCATATTTGGAGCGTCAACGTGAAGGATGTTGATGATATCATCCGTACACCTGGTCGAGGATTGACTGAGCCTGGGCGTGCAGCTGGTGATATTGTGCATTCAGCTGCCCCATTAACGGGGAGCCTGTAAAGAGAAGAGAAATGGCAGACAGAGGTAAACACTTGATTGCTGATGTGTTGTTAGCCTCGAGCTCCTTCGCAGACTTGTAGGGCGTGGGGATATTTTTTTTAGGTGAGCTACGAGAGTTATGCCGCAGATGGAATTTTGCTGGGGAGAGCAGCGAAACCGTCTCTCCGCGGCAAAACTCCCTCCGCGACATAACTCTCGTAGCTCACCGAAAAAAAAACGCCGCGCCCTACAAGTCTGCGAATGAGGCTACTGTGTCGTATGGACGTTAATATTTCCATGCAAAAAAATAAAACTTAAAAATAATATTATAATAATCTTAGTACAGGCATACAATTACTAAGGTGGCACTGCTCTACATTTAATGACAGAACTTAGATGTATGATTATTATACTACTATAAAACAAAGTTCCTAGAACTTTAAAGTACTAAGGATAGACGTATGTGTCCTGCATGGGAAAAGGTACTTTGCACGCTTTCCTCACCCCATCCAGGTGTAGAAAAACTCAGTGGAAGGAGAGGGATGGGCTCCGCCTTCCATTCTTGGTAGTCCCTTGCAATCAAATATGACCGCCTTCCAATATCATGCCCTGAAAAGATTGACAACCCACTATCCCCGGGCCCATCATTGCCACAAATTCTATAAGACCTAGTACGTATTGCATTGACCTAGTACGTACCGGAGCCGTGGCCATTCGCGTACGCCTCCTCGATCTCTTTTTGCAGTTGCGTCAGTTGATGTATGATGGCCATAGCCTGCATGGTCATGTCCTGGATGTCGTCAAAGCCCCCTCTCTCAACGGCCCGGTCCCCGCCAGACGGGACAGGCGCCCCGGGGATCACCCCCTTATCCACGGCCCGGTCCCCGCCGGAGCGGACAGGCGCCCCGTAGATTACCGAAGTCGTCGTTGACAGAAGGGCGATGGCCAACAGCACTCGGAACGTCATGGTGCCCTGTAGTTACGAAATTTGAAATTGGTAATGTATGCTTTCACTAGCCTCTACCAGGCTTCGGGAGGCGACTGAAAAGAGTAGAAATCGGCCAAATTGAGAGAAGTAGAGTAGAAGCGGCCAAACTTAGCACGCCAAGTTTGCCGTTGTTTTTTCCAGCAGGCCAACTGCCTTGGCATGTTGTCTATCAATTTGGCCGATTTCTACTCTTTCCAGCCTCCTCCCGAAGCCTGGTAGAGACTATATGCTTTTACATGTACTCGTACTAGTACACGTACGCTGCCAAAATAGGCTTACTCAATGGCATTGCTCCAGAGTTATAAAAGCCGTGACCCACGCACCCACCCAACAAACCAAAGATAGGTACCTATTTACACCTGAGTCAAATGAGGAAATTGACGAATTCCCGAGACACAACAAAGGGCCCTACCAAGGATTCGAACTCAGAACCTTCGGAATCTGCTGAGTGAACGATTTACAGAAAGGACAGGCAGGGTAAAACTGATGGAGGAGTTGCTATCCTCGTTAGCGACATTCTCCCGAGCACTGTCGGACGAAGAGAACCCCGTGACTCTCATTGGGATGACCTATGGGTCGACATCGACCTTACGGACATCAAGGTTAGCCCAACAAGGTCCTTTTCTCTTGTGCATATATACCAACAGCCACCCATGACACTTTCTATGATCAGTATGAACACTGCATCTGCATGTACATGTTCTATTTTCCAGCATATTGCGTTAAGTGTTTTGAAACACGTGCCCAGATTGCCCATATGTAAAATCCACACATTCGAGATATAGATCAGCAACGTTATATCCAGGCTAATCTTTTAGCCATTTTGGACACTCAAAGTGTTTACATTAGTCTCTCAGCAAAACACCTATGTTTACCGTGTTGCCAATCATACATCAATGAAGTAACACGGTGTTCTATTGTAGAGGCACACGGTGCCACCTCGCGCCGAAACACCTCTCATGTTGCCATATCGCAATGTCAATAAATATAAACAGACTATTATATAGCTTCAAACAGCGTCCGGGTATTTTCTATTGTACTAACTAATACTGTGGGCCGTATATGTACATATATTAAACGGCACCAAGGACCCAGTCCGTGACATATGTCCTGTGATCGTCGTACGATCTTGGGATAGTCGTACATGTGTCGTACAGAATTCAGCTGTCTTGTTACTGAAAAGGTCGTTTTAGATCCTTGCCAATGCAAGTAGTTCGTTCTGTGCTTGAAAATCCTATGATATGAAAATCGCACAATGACTCTATGACAAATATGACCGCACCTTAAACAGAAAACTGCATTGAGCAATTTTTCAGGATAAAATAATGTGCCGAAGGAAGAAGCCCTCTATTACCCTTGATATCAACTTTTTGGTATTAAAAAGAGTCTTGAAAAGCTTTTTCTGTCCAAATACACTACATGTGCTCTTTTTGTACTCACTTTTCTACCAAGAGAAAGCCAAGAGATCGTAAGAAATTCATCGTTTCCCCGCAAATACTATTAAAGATACGTGAAAATTCGTACCGTTGCGACGTATCGTTAAGGCGAAGTGTAGGTTTCTAGGTTTAGCTGGTGGCGGTTGAAGCTGAGACGTTGAGAAAAACAACCTGTCCTTGCGGGTTGGAGATTGAATGAGATAAACGTCCAACCACTCTGACTCAGCCGGAACTTGTTTGTCCGGCTAGTCCATTTCAGACAGAGGGGGAGCAATGTAGGCAAAACTTTGTGAGGGGCATGAAATGTCCAAGATTGAACCCCCTTAGTCTATGAATATCTGTTACTGTCACTACAATGCACACGGTCAAATGTCACGAATGGGGAGGGAGAAGAAAAGTGATATGTTCAAAAATACGTCAGTCACTAGGATTAGGAGGTAAATGGAATAGCTCAGGTGTATTTATCTGTCTGACGACGTAAGAGAATTTTTTTAAGAACGTCAGAAAGTCATGTACGGAGAATAACAGGAAATGACATACAAGCAGAAAAGAGAGTCTTTTTCATCGTAAAAACCCATGGCTATATAGTTTATGTTGTTATGGTTTGCGTTACAAATGCCGCTACTAGGGATACTGTGTCATAGATACCATAGGCACACGAGGTTAGGCTCCCACAGAATTATGATCCATATACTCCAAGCGTGACATGTTTGCATTGGGATGAAATACGTTCTACGGTTAAATAGGAACTATATAGTTATAAAAGTCTAATAACAATATTCTGTTTCCAAGGAAGAGTGACATCGGCGTTGGGTACTTCTCCTTCTCTTAATCACCTTCTTGATGTACGTCTTTTCTCAACCTGCCTGGTCAATTGCAATTTCCGTACATGAGTATTTCAAAGTCAGTACTTAGTACATGTTAATGTTATCGCCGTGTGATATATTCACGTTTACGTCAAAGAAAAACCAAAGGAATCTTTTACTTTTATATGATTACACGAATTGGGCATCGTATACTAGTACTAAATAATAGTGATTTCTATAGTATCTAGAACCACGTTTATCTAATTCTATGCCTGAATGACTTAGGGTAAGGCACGTTTCTGGATAGTCTCCGTATATCCAGAACGTAGATTGCCCCCAGGCACGGTTTTGGATACGTGTGGAGTCACACAGGACAGTCCAGAACACATTCCCTGAGCAGGAGTCTTTATAAAGCAGGGTTCCAGATACAACTGAACAATTTCAAGTCTTTTATTTGTCATGAAAACAGCAATAAATCAATGGAACAGCAGTTGTCGTCCTGTCCTGTTTCTTTCCTTTCATAACGCCTTCCCTTATCCCACTGTCGTGTCTCTTTCAGGAAGCGGAATTTCTTGTTTTCTTTTCTGCATGGGAACAGGCCATAGTCAATGCGCGCGCGGACGTCATTCATAAGAATTACTTGGTATGGCCGTATTCACAAGTGCTTATTTACACATACCGTAGCAGGTACTCGGTTCACCAGGTATACCATACCCCAGAACAGGGCTCCGTGGTCAGAGGTTTGTCATGCGGCACACCCGCCTGAGAGCTCATACAGGTGGCATTTATTCCAACACTCGACATGGTCTGTTTAAAGTGATGGCAATTAAGTGCCTAATTTATTGTGTTCAGTAGAAAGCTAATACATACAGTGTTAATGAAATGCTCATTTACGCTAGGGTTACAATTCCAAACCCGAGGTCTGGCTATAGTATATAAAAGACAACAAAGCACAAAAAGTCGGAAAAAAAATCATCAGGACTTAGTCTATTTGCGTAAAGAATACCGTATATTATTGATATGAATTGTTAATTTATTTTTCATTCACGCAAGTAGCGTTACTTTAGCATTGCGATGAACCATTTTTTCACCCTTTGAAAGAAAGCAGCATGCACTAGTTTTTTTTTTTTTTTGCAATTAGAAATTGATCGATGAATTAGACACCCATATTTACTACAACGCTTTCTTTCTAGGCAAAAACGCGTCAATTCTTTTTTTTTTTTTCAGAAAACTGCCATCATTCCAGTGATAATGTTGTCGTCCTTTACGGTGCCTTCATGGCGGAAGCCTCCTTCAGACCGTCCTTGGCATGACGGCTGAGCCCCCCGTACAGCTTGGTCCACGCCGCGTCCACCTCCGCCGTGTAGTCTGTACCCAGGCACCGCTGCAGCATGCACAGGATGGCGCCAGCAATAACCTGAAGGACAGGAGATACAACATCAGATCTTAACCATTGTCGTCTTGGAAACAGCATCACTAGGGGAAACGTCGTCCTCACCCATGTACACCATGCTTTCGCTGGATTTTTGGTCAACGTTGCATCAGAATTTTGCCCGTTGCAGACGATATTTTTTTCGGACACGACACTTTGTTATAGTAAATGTACTATTAATAGCAGTGTGTTACCATATTTGGGCATGAGTCATCAGAATGGCACACAGAGCAAGCAACCAATAGGCATGCAGCTTTCCTCTATTCTTCTTGCTGATTGGCTGTTGGTATTTGATCGGGTTAACTCAATTAACACTTGTACATACAAGGCCATGCCGTATTGACACTATGAACTGCATTCAAGTGTTTTGGTAGGTATGTCAAGCTTTCCTGCTCCAGCATTGGAATGTGGGGCATAAACGCTTCTTTTTATCTTGAAAATCCACAGTTTGCATTATGCAATTAAAAATCCATTAATGTAGGGGATAGCTATCCAACTGTTGTCACTTCATACTATAGTTATATCAATGTAAAGAATTGTTTTCCATTGTATTTCTACTTCTTTCCCTGTCGTGTCGTGAAATGTGGTGAAGCCATGCTGAATTTGCTCCAAAGCAAATGTCGGCGTTTCTAGTCCTTAAATACGCGACTTTTAACGAGGCCAACCAAAGTGATGTGCACGATACATGATAGCTATAGGTTTCGCGCAGTACGTTACTGAGTCTCTCGTCACCTTTAAATCTCACGAGACTCAATTGCAAACGAAACCCATTGTGTATGTTTTACAACAGCTTCAGGACTCGTGATCAATTTATAAAATAAGAAATATGCTGAAATATTTAACCACTTCACCTTTTTTTCACCTTTCACCTTTACTAGCCAGATGAAATGCTTTAAAACCACATTATACGTAATCAAAACTCACGTCGAAATATTCCTCGGGGATCCTTGGAGGGTGATGCTTCTTGCCGATGTCTTTGAACAGATCCAGCAAAACCTCCTGATCGTCCAAGGCGCTCACAACCTGAGAAAAGAGCAAAGGGACGACTTTGTATAATTAAAAGAAAAAGATGATGTGTCGTGAATATGAATTGCTAGATTGGTACCAAATAATAAATTATGTGGAAGTCCCTGTCACACATAGTCGGCTGTGTCCTCCCGACCTTCTCCAGCTTCAGACCATATGGTTGGGAGTTAGTCGCAACTCGTGAGCATTTGTCACACGGGTTTGGGGGGGTGGTGGTGAGGGTACATCTTACGAAGGCCCACAGCGACACTGCGCTACACCTCTTCCACAGCCATGCCACACAGAGCTGTCAAGGGCTGTGTGGCAGGTATGTGGAAGAGGTGTATAGCATGTATAGCCCTTGGCAGCGCCGTATGGCAGGGCTGTGGAAAAGGTGTGGCGCAGTGACGTTGTGGGCCTTCGTAATATCTACTAATCTTCAGGACAGGAAAGTACGGATTACAGGGTTCCCCCCAGCCCATCTTCCAACCTTGGTTGGGGAGTGGTCGGGAGCAAAGTCGTGGAAAGGTCCTGAATGTGTGACAGGGACATATTAAGCGTGCGCTAAGTAGACTCAAACTAGCTTTGGACTCCGTGTGCGAATGCATATTCTGTGACCTATCCTGGTGGTTAAACACATTTAGTGATTAGCTAGTGACTTGGAATGACAGTCTCCTTTCTTTCGTGAATCTCTCCTACAATACTGATGAATCAGTGATGATGCACTGACTCTAACAATTTAGTAATCGCACCATTTTTGACAATAGTGAAGGAATAAATAACACACATTGACTGGTCGCTTATTTCACTTGACCACCTCAACTAACAGTGAATTTCTAAACGTAGATTTTAACAGGAATGTGCAATATTGACTGCTGTCACGGACGTCCGCACCTAAAAACCTACGAGTACTTGATAAACACATGTACATTTAGTTATGTAGAATCAACTAAGATCATTATGCTGTGACAACGAAGTTTCTCTAACAACATACGTACGCGTACGTTAACCGCTGACTTACTCGCGGATGGTTGGCTTATGTTCTGCGGACGTCGTACCACATCCAAACCACCAGCCAACCATGTCCGAACCTCTCGACCAACCTCCGATTGTTTTAAACATTCGGTTGGCACAGGTGGCTGAATAGTAGCCGACCTTGTTGAACACCAGCCGACTTTGCTCCAACCTACTCCTGACGGCTGGGGGCGTCCGGCTAGTGTTAGTCTCTACCAGACTAACTACGCTGGCCATAGCTTTATATATGAGAATATTCTAAATTTCCAGGGGAGTTCGGCCGCCTTGGGGTATGACTGGCCGCGAAGAGGAAAATAATCAACCTTCCGCGGCCGGACTCCCCAGGGCCCTTGCCAACTTACTCTCCTTTTTGCCGAATTCTACGATCCGTATTCCCATAGAAAGGCCTGGTGGAGGCTACGTTAGTGTTGGGGAGGCCAAATTCGTGAACGTGTGACAGGGGCTATATTAATAGACTACTGCACCTACCGTGCCGATGGACGCCATGACCCGGGTCACATGAGCACGGAATCGCGGCGTGCTCCGGAGTTGGTTGTCCGGAATGTCCCGGAATTTGGCGAAGACTTTCTTCGTCTCCGGATTGATCTCGAACATTCTGGTAACGGAACGGAAATGACAAAAAAGTGATGAGTGGTGCAGATCCAATATCATCTTTAGAATGAGTCTACGTTCTGTAATCTCAAAGCAGATTCCATCGGAGGCAGAGGACGATCAAACCGCAGGAGTTATACCTTTGCCCGGTAACTCGGGTGGCCAATGTAAAAGTCTCCTGCCTCGAAGGAATCTGCTTGGAGATTACACTTCCTAGTGGTCCTTTCCTTATAATTAGATAGCTTTTCCTATTGATACAAGCACCGTGACCACCAACCTATCCGCATAGATCAGAATTCATCGGTCAACATGCCAGAGTAGTCATATTGGGCACTTTTTACAGTTCCTCAATTACTAGCTCACGAATGAACATAGAAATAAACAATCGAAAAAACACAACAACAGACAGGCAACTTAGACCGACTTCAGAAGGATGTTGGCGCCGTTCCCTGCCATGTCCCTCGAGGCGATGGCCCAGGTCCGGCGGATGATGGCCTTCTCTCCCTCCGCCAGGGACACGACAGCGCTCCGGTCAGTCGACATGTTCACGTGCGGGTGGTCTCTGTAGATAGTAAGACCCGACTGACTTATGCCACTAGGTACAAGGGGTATCAGCCTGTTATTCAATTTTTCAAGGTGGCTATTATTGTTAATCGTTGGGTCTGGTCTCTGGAAGTGACAGAAATTTTAATAATGCTCCAGCTTTTTTTTGCACAAGCCACTGTAAACCCCTAGCCTGCATGGCTACTGAATGAGCCTGTACATATGATACATGTACAGTACTGTTTTGGGGGGCGATATGTCTGTTGTTGTTCGAGATCTGTATCATAATACTCTCTTATAAACTTTAATGATGTAACACCGTTTTGGACCACATCCTAGTAGTGCCAACATCATAACAAACTTACGAATGTCAAAATGCTATCAAAATTTACCTTATTTCAACACAAGAAAGTTGTATATGATAGTTAACCGATTCATGCATATTTTCTACATCAAAACAACGACTTCTACGTTGGTAACGGCATGTTTACAATAATATATTTATTTGGATGAAGCTGCAAAGTTTTGAGTATGGAAAGAGCATCCCAGAATAAATAATCCCAGAATTCATACCCATATTGTTTTCTGAACCCTGGAGATTTTTACCGAATTTTGCACAAAATGCCCACCGTGGGAAAGCCGCACAAGTTAACGTTTTCGTGCGACAAGACTCTGAACAGTTTTCGCTCCAATTAACACAAATGAACGGAAACCTATCCAGATGCTGATGGTGGTCCTTTTTTGTGAAAATTTGGGAAATTAGGAAATGAGATAAACGTCAATTTGAACAGAATTCTAAATTGATGGGTGGGACATGCCATGACGTTGTCTGCCCCTTTGCCCATTCCCAGCAGGCCAGGCTAGCATCTTTTCAAACCCCTATGAGAAGTTATTCATTATATTTCAACAATTTATATTAACATTCAGCCACCGAATAACTATATTAAAGATTAATTTTGGACTATCAACCCAAATGCATTGGATAGAACATGATCGTGAAGTCAGAAATATTTTCTAAATGCTCTATTGCCAACTCTCGGAAATTCTTGACAACCGGGCAAACACCCTGTAGTTTGAGGTACAGTAGATCATTATCAACTAATGACGTTAGCTATATCAGTTGGGTGCTTGTTCTGTGCAGAATCTGATAGGGCCAGGCTAACAACATCTGCATCCCTCAACGTGCCACAGTTTCACCATAGCAGGTTTGCACTGACTTTGCTCCAATGTGTCGATATGACAAACCTCGTAGCAGGTGTGTGAAACCTTCAGCTTGAGGTTTTCAGCGTACAATGGCACGTCTCTGGTCGCACACCCTGTTATCATTTATCATTTCCTCCGTCAATTTAAAGTCAATGACTCGACTTAACGGCATAAATACAAGAAAATTGCCCTCCATAGTTTGTAATAAGCCATTCTGTATAATTTCTGCAAAGTAAAGCCTTCTAAACAAAAGAGTGTTATATCTACAAAGCGCTTACAATGATTCATGTTTCTATTTTGTTGACGTAACTAAACGAGTCGATTCCAGTGCTACAACAGTAGAGAAATGTTCGTTTTAGTCTAGACACAGAAAACAAGCAAAAAAACAAAAGGGTGGTGGTGGTGAGTTTATATGCCATTTCTAAGGAAATATATGTGCAGTTAGTAACCACAGGATAGCCCCGCTGAACTATTCCTCAGATATAATTGTCGCTGTACTGTGACTTGCAAAAAAATTGTCTAGATATGTAAACTTTGGGCCTGGGGAAACCAGCCAATCAGCGGCAAGCACACTCCTCCAACCGAGATGTCAACTCTCACGTGATTGGCACGCCTCGTACTGAAGACAGAGCGGCAACTGCGCATGCCCGAACTGCATGTTGAAGTTCACATCTTTATATCGTTGCCGAGAAGACAGAGTTTGTCGGGAGAATGCGCAAACAGAGTCGTGATTCATTGGGATTTAATCGTGCGACATGTACTGAAGGTATTGCGGTCCCGCACGTGGACAAAATCACAAAATAAAGACAGGCTTGTTGGGCGACAAGCAGGATCAAATAGAATTACAGGGTGGGGTGAAAAATGTTTCTGTAGTTTACTTCAATTTCCCTCATTGTGCTCACAAATTCCTTCTCCTCTTGGTACTACTTTTTCATTTTCTTAGACTCCTAAAATATTTGTCGTTTTGTTCTTGTCTCTTTGCAGAGTAGGAGAACTGCTTTGACCCCAAAATTCATTTCTTTGTCAGTAAAGTGGTGAGGCTAAAATCAACAATTTGCTGGAGTTGTCCACCGCCGTGTCTTGTACTTTTTATATTGTTAAAAAAAACCTAAATGAGATTTAGTAACCTGTCTTTAATATCTTGACATTCCAATCATAGTTTTTGAGACTCGGTTGAAAGCACTTTAAATTTATGGAGTTATAGGGACGGTATATACTATTCTTTCAAAGCGGTAAGGTTTCATGAACAATCTAGCTCGTTTTTGACATACTAGTACTTTGAATTCAGGACAAGAATCGTTGTTCTTTCTGTTGTTTCGAATAGAGTTAAACAGTTTCTATGCATTAAAGTGCGGGACTGATGTCAAAGATTGAAATAAGAGGGGTACGCTATGATTTTTTTTTTTATTATTCCAAAATTTCATGACCAAACATATGTCCACGGCACGCTCAAGTTACATCAACTTATTTTATACCGCCACCAACACAGAGGACAAATATAGGACAGGACAATACTCATTCTCACTTGAGTTAGCTATGCTCTGTCACGTATTTCCCGTTAAGGAAAAGCTCCAAAAACCGATGGTATTAACGCTGGCTGTCTAACATGTCGGATACACCTTGATTGATAGTTTGTGCAAATTTCGGGTAAAAATAGGAATTCTTCCCTTCCCGGGAAACGCAGTGACGTCAGCCGTGTTGCATTGTGGGTTACATCACCCTACAAATGCCTCGCCCGTCCTCCGGCCGCCTCACTTGCACCATCTCCGGGTCCCGAGAAGTGACGACCGGTTCTTCAACATCGACGTCTTCAACATTGACAAGGTTTCTTCTCCTCTGAACCAAGGGTAAGTGTAAGAATACTCTACAATTACTATCTACAATTAAAAAAAAGTTTTGTGTACATAGCATATCTTATGATTACCGTTTTTTTCTTGTACGGGTGTAATTTTCATCTCAAATTCAAGAAAATTTTCTTACTTTACTTTTGTTTAGCGTTTCTATGTAACTTTTGTTTAGAGTTTCAATGTAAAAAAAGTTTGCATCCTTGCTTCCACCTCATTACAGTTTTTCCATTACCAGTGTTTTTAGTGTATCCTGTGAACGCGATTGTCATTTACATTCGTTTTCATGGAACAAAAATAACGAAATGCGGCTTGCCGTTAACTTTGAAGTTAATCATACAGTTGATTTGGCTGTGAAAAAAAGTCTTTTAGTTCCTGGAGGAGTCCATAGGTTTTTTTCTGCATTCGTTTCATATCGTTAGAGTTGTAAAGTGTGCGCGTGCATTATCGTTATTTGAATTTAACGCGTTTTTCTGTTGTTTTTTTTCAGTCGTTACCATGTTGTCCATCCTTCTGCTCGCCCTAACCTTTGCGGTGGTGCCCGGCCGCGTCATCGAAGAACCGTCCGGTACGGTTTTAAACTTTTACCTTCATGATGTGTAAATGAGCATACACGATTCCATTGTCTTGTTCTTGGTGCTTAAAGTAGCCAGTTAGATGATCTATTGTACTTAACATTATCATTAGTGTCTTTGTTTGAATTTTTGTCTATGTTGTATGCTTGGTAACTCTGCCGTGAAAAGATATATAAATTGAAAGCATCGTCGCATTTTTTCTGATTTTCTTTTTTAAAGTTGTCGAGTGGGGGACATCCTTATTCTCAATCTGGATTACAAAATTCGAGCGATCTTTCAACACTTGTCAGCCCTGCACTTTAGGAAAGATACTTACCCATATGTATACAATGAAAGAGACTAATAAAAGCGTACGGTAATGTATGCGCCAATATATACGTTGCACAGTACGCCTCTTGAAAAGAGAGGGATACGTACAGCTGAATGGTACCTAATACACTAAGCTCCAAAAAAACTCATCAGCTTTAAGTACGTCATAAGTACATTACACCAAATAGCAAAAGTATAAAATTCATGGCACATATACTATTTGGTAATTGTTATCTCCCGAAATGAAGACCTCATATGAAAATTGGTTAAACTTTGCCAGATTTCTGTCCCGTTCAACCAAGGCGAAGATTCCTGAGATGAATCATAACTTTATTTTGTCTGCCTTTTTTCCACACACTGTCACTCTGTTCTTGATAATACTCTAGTATTTAGCGTAGGTCGATTGTCAATCAGAGAACTGTGAAATATCATAAAGAAATCCCTAGGAACTATGCGTACATAACCAATGAGCTTTATTTAAACTTGATAGAAGTGAACAGGATGGAATATCGCCACACGTAAGAAGCTAAACGATTAATTGGTTGAGATAATGCATGTGTGGTGGCGAAACTCTTTTCAGGGATAGCACTAAGTCAACACGGTCACAAAATGCGTCTTTAGTGGCACAATACAGCAAGTTCATCAATCAATGATCACCGACACTAAAGAATGCCTTTCTTTGATACCTTTCTTAATTAAAACCAAGGAACGTCCTTGTTAAAACCGAAGTGCAACAAACTTTACCTAAGAGGGCTAGGACAATAAAATGCAAGTAGATGAAAATGCAACAACATCGACAGAAGCATTTTTTCAACCACTTTTGTTTGTTTCTTTTTTTTTTCCAATTTTAAAGTAGTTGGAATTCTATGCAATAGTTGACGCCTAATGACGTCACATCCCTTGCTACCTTTGATCCAAAGTGATTAACAGCTTGGACATGACAACTTCTTGTTTCTTTTGGTATGTTTTAATTGCCGTTAAACAGTGACAGAATCATCCTAAGGAGCAAATACTCTGCAAGCAAATACAGCCTGACCTGTCTTGATACAGAGGACTAAACATGCCACTACAGGGAAAGATTGAATGGCCAATTAAGTACAAAAGAATGTCCCAAAACGGCCGTCGTTGCCCCGTGGGCGGTGTGCACTGAGTACAGCTGCAGATTCGTCATCCTGGTGACCGAATCACGGCAAGCTGCGTAAACATAGCAGAAAATTTGGGTCAGCGTGCCATACTGTTGTTGCCGAACGATCATGGCGCTAAAATCCGTTTTCTACGTAAGAGAGATATTTCAATTAAGATAATGTGCTAATAATGAGTGATTGATAATGATGTTTTGTTTTGTTGTCATGTGACGACAAGCTGTGTTATTTTCAGTCGTACTTTGTACTTCCAGGCTTGACGGCCTTCACCCATAAATAAAAGCCGCCGTCACATACACACCATGTTTACATACAGTTGTTAGCTTAAGATCGTGGGGTGGTATTTGTCTATTACGTATTGGAATGTACATCATGACATACAGGACCCATTAGTCTTTTAGGTCCGCTTCGGTCTGAGACAATAGGTAAATAAACTTCGGTTATATTTCATTTCATTCATATAGAAATGTACGTTATTTTTCAGAAAGAACAAAAATGAGATATAAGTGATATATGAGTACTCATTAATAGAGTGATAACATCAATGTTTCCCTACTTCATACATCTTATTAATACAGGCAAATTCACAATTCTAATGAGCTAATACAAAACATTTCAATTTTGGTGGAAAATGTTACGTGATGCCTTCAAGGTGATCTGGGAGTGTGTCTGAGGACTTTGGGGATTTAAAAATACTAGTTAGGGTTACGTATGGTCATTGAATTTCTTTATGTAAGTACATATGTACCTGAGTGCAAGACAATAATTTATGCAAATTTTGATGACGTAATCATGACGTCATCTTGAGTTATAAGCCACGCCCCTTTTTTATTTTATTTTCTTTATTAATTTCCCTGGCCAACGCTCTGGTTTTCATTCACCATATTTTGTTGAGAGGAAAAACACAAGTAATAGCAAAAAACGTACGGGAGGATTTTTAATGTATTCAAATGTTGATTTTTTAATGTAATTTTTTTCGTAAATTTTACTTGCCCACAGCCTTTGACTGTTCCAACCTGGTTGACGGGAAGTTCTACGGCGATACGGTAGACTGCGCCACCTACCATCTGTGTCTGGTAGGGCGCGCCTTCACGCTGCAGTGCCCGGATGGACTGTACTGGGACCAGGGGAACAAAGTGTGCGACGCCAAGGCCAAAGTGCTCTGTAAAACAAGTCAGGTGAAACAAATCGTAAGAATTAGCTTGCTTATAAATCCGCCTTTAATATAACATGGTATTTTCCATAAGCCGCATAATGGAAATGTAGGGTCAGTTTGCCTGCATTTCTTGCGTTTTTTTCCATTCCTTGAGTCCACTTTCCTTTTATTTAAGTGTGTTTTCATATTTCATATATAAGTACGGCCATGTTGATTTGATTATATGGATGACATCCTCTGGGAACCCCAAAACTGACGCGAGCGTGCGAGTAAAAAAAAACTTTGGCAAAAAATGTTGCTTTCATTATGAAATCTACGTGGTTATGGAGGTTGAACAAATGAGTATGGTGTGGCGAATAATCTACTCTTGAACATTTTTAATTCGTTTTTCGGCATTCTACGGCATTGGTATCGTTTTCCAATATTTCTTTTTGAAACTTACGGTACATATTTGCTCATTTTGCAACTGTTTTGTACCATTTACAGTATAGTTGAAAACTGTTTTTTTGAAACGGCCGAAAAACTGAAGTTCATGCGTCAAATCAACATGGGCTAATTTTGACGGAAGATCGGAATGACAAGCTCTTTTATACTTGAGCTTTCAGACGCTATATATTGACCTCATCAAAAATAATCCCTTGTTTATTTTTTTCATTGACACGTTTAGTGTATCAACAATCCATGTATGAACGGTGGCACCTGCAGTGACGTCATTAACGGGTACGAGTGCGCCTGCGCACCAGGGTGGCGAGGGAAAGACTGTAACGGTAAGTGGGAGCCATCTTTTACTATCATGAAGGTTCATTTGTGTTGGTAGTTATATTGTACAAAGTTAAAACTTTAGATCCGACACAAAAAAGTTATCTTACCTAGAGCTTTCGACCAGTCACTCTGGTCTTCCTCAGTAGACTGACCCAGTGAAGCCAGAGTGACTGGTCGAAAGCTCTCGGTGAGATAACTTTGTGTTGGATTTAAAGTTTTAATTTTAAACAGAAACCATGTTGGTTTGTTACCTTCAGGGACGGTAGTATTGTTCTGGGTGGTTGATGCTTGTCTGTTTGCCCGGATAGTGTAAATTTACATCACCTGGATGGGGAAGATTGACAGGCAGAATGACAGGAGGTCAACATCACAGGTTGATATAGGTTGATATTCCGTGGGTGGAGGAAGATTGGCAAGCCGAATGAAATGAGGTCAAAAGGTCAGACACGGGAAATGGGGTGAACTTGAAGATCATGAAAATCCAAAATACTGAAAGAAAAAGTCTGAAGTCTATTTCTTGTTCCAATATCTATTTATTTTATTTTATTTTATTTTCCGTCATTTTTATACAGGATCTACTGATCGTGTAAGCGATTCATCTCATGCTCGGTCGGGCTGTTTGAATGAACGAAAAATTAAAAAAAATATCAAGAATAAGCATAAATTATTATTATGATTATGTCTTAAACGTTTTGTGTGTTTTGTTGTATTCTACATCAAACTTTTCGTTCCCATGCACAAACTGCCCGGCCGGGCTCTGGTTTGGAACTGGGACCCTAGCATTAGAAGTAAAAACAGGCAAGTAAGTGATGCTTCTATCAATATTGTGACGGTAGTGAGGAATATCAATGCCCCGTCTGTTTCAGAGGCTGATCACTGCTGGAGCGCCCCCTGTCACAACGGCGGCATGTGCACGGAGGACGGCACGGGGTACAAGTGCGCATGTCTGCCCGGCTGGCAGGGAAACAGCTGCGATGGTGGGAGTTCATTTAGCATCCACTTGACCAAACTAGTTCTCAAGCATATTGTAGACTTTGGAGTAACGCACAAAATAGTCGCTACAATCAAAGGTCAAGAACTAAATTGTTGTTGTTAAGTGTTCAAAGTTTCGAATTCTTTCATTATAGCTACCAACTTCCATGTCAGATGGAAGGTGATAAGGGGTACTTTTGATTTGCTGCTATTTTGCTAAAGGAACAAGCATTTATGGATGAGCAATGTGCAAAATGTACGCTACATTTTTAGATTTGCCAGGTTTTATTCTTATGGCTATAAACTTTCCATATCATAATCTTCAGAAATAAGTAATCAGGTACACTGATTAGTTGTAGTTCTTCTTAGGGTCGTACGCAGTCTTTTTTACATGATGATTTTGTGACATAGCATAGTATCTACTTGTTCTCCATACAGAACCAGACCCCTGTGCGAGCTTCCCCTGTGCAAACGGCGGGCTGTGTATGGTGGCGCTGAACACGTACACCTGCATGTGTCCTGAGGGATGGCACGGCGTTAACTGCCAGGATAAGGGTAAATAAAATATCACTCACTCACTCGCTCACTGGGTCGAGCTTCCCTCGGTTCTGCTCTCCATCTCTTCCTATCCTTCATTTCTACCATCAGATTTTTCCTGTCGAGATGAGTGTCGTCCAATAATTGGTTAATATAGTTTCTTGCTGGACGACATCGACTTCTTTTTCCATTGAGGGCTCCCACAGTAATAACTGGTGTATGATTTCATCCTCACTTCTGTAGCAGTGTCCGATGAACTTCAACCTTCGTTTATTGCTTCGATCACTGTCTGAATTGAATATACCCGTAGATAAATTGAATGTTGTATATTTTGCAGGGCCTTTGATTGTTTATTTTCAGCAGTTTTGCTTTCTGTATTGATATCCGACAAATAAATTATACAGACTTTTCAACTTCTTATTAGAAGGTTTATTTTACTTATAATTTCATAACTTCATCATTTTATGAAATCAAGAATGTTGGATCACACTGTTTATACGCTATTTCAGACGTCGACCCCTGTCAGAACAACCCATGCCAGAACGGCGGCCACTGTATGAAGGACGGCCCTGCTGACTACAGCTGCCTCTGTCCTATCGGCTGGGGTGGGAAGAACTGTGAGAGTAAGTAGCTAAGTCTACACTGAGGTCCATTCATGGCTCTAGCTGGTACATAAGCTGGTACATATTTCAGCTTCTGTGTAAAATACCTGGCAGTAGCACTTGTTAACATGTCTCACAGGTGGAAACATTGGGGGAGAGTTTTGAGAGTTTTGTGAAAAGGAAAAAAAACACAGCGTTGTTCTGAATATTACCTTTAGTTATGTGTCATTATTTAAATGAATGTGACTTCAAAGGTCCAGTTTTGATACTCTATGCCTTTTATTCACCCCTCAAAGACTGAATAATAATTAGAAGTATTCTATGTTATACTAGTATTATTCTCAATACGTTCAGTAGCTACCTTAAAATCAGATGCTTGCTGACGTCAAAACTGATTGATATCACTGAACATATATCGCTTGTCATGAGGATGGGACTAGGTACAGGTACAGGTAAATCTCTTGTCAACACAAACTCGCCAGAGTGTTTTGCGTACGTAGATAAAGGTTAAACATCCACGTGGACATTCAGGTAAGCGATAAACAACGACAATTCAAACTCTACTACTGGATGAATTACAGAGATTACTTCCGAACGTTTAGAGTGACAACCGTCAGTCTTGTTCAACGTCACTAAAATGAACTGTCAGTAAAAGTGCTTGGCGTACTTTCAGCTTCGGCCAGCTGCATGAGTAGTCCATGTCTGAATGGCGGAGTCTGCGTGGAAGAACCGACCGGCTTCAGCTGCAGGTGTCAGAGCGGATGGGTAGGCGACCACTGTGAATTCGGTAAGCAATTTTACCAACTGGTTTGTTGTGTGTGTTTGGTTGTCTGTCTGTCTGTCTCTCTCTCTCTGTGCGTGCGCGCGCGTGTGTGTGTGTGTGTGTGTGTGTGTGTGTTTGATTTTGTGTTGGTAGGTATTCGAATGCAGTAGAGTTGTAGGAATGGGACTGGAGTCTGATGGGACTGGGTACCGCAGATTGACTTTAAGGTCAAATTGGCAGGACTGAGAGCAAGTAAGTCTACCCACACAGCTCAAAGGGTTATACCTATATCCGGACGCGCCGGAACAAGCTTTTGGCTTGCAAGGTTCCTGCTAGGCCCTTTGAAAGTGCATACGTCAGACCATCTCTTTGGTTGTGCCTTAATATATTTAACTCCACAAAGCCCTAAATACATCCTAGAGGTTTAAAAAATCTCCGATTTCTTATTTTTCTAGTTACTCCCAACTCGTACAAATAGGTAAAAAGACAACAACCAATGTACATCTAGTCACGTCATCAAACGTGCTCCAGGCACCATCAATGTTAACCTGCTAAGATTCCATGACGTACATGTAGCACACCGTGCCCACAGGTTGCCAGGACCCGCCGTCCCTGTTCACCTGTCCGGACACCTGGAGTCTGAAGTGGCTGGACGGGACCGGCATCCGCCATCTCACCGGGAACGACTCTTACTGCGCAGACGTGTTCTGCTACCCTCCCTACTTCACCGGGTTCGCCGGCTCCCCAACCTACCTGCATGGTAAGTAGTTTATGTGTTTGTTTGTTTGTTTGTTTGTTTGTTTGTTTGTTTGTTTGTTTATTTTAGCCTTTGTTTATTCACTGAGGTCATAAGTAAAGAGGTAAGGGCCAGAAAAATATAACAAGAAACAAGGAAGACCCACATTTGTGTGTAACGAATGTTGCATGCATTTTCGATAATCACACAAGAGGGGGAATTCTTTCTGACAAGAGTCTATGGAGTCATACGTATACACACTTTGTATGTGTAATATAATGTTGAAGATAAAACAGACAACGCATGGGAAGGATTCTGAGAATTTCTGATTTTTGTGGATCTGCATAGCGCGTCACATTGACTATCTAGTGTTCAAGTTAAGCAGTGCTGAAACTGTGATAACTGTTTGCATGGTTGGTCTTCCCGACACAGACCGTGTGGAGCTGGACCGTGTGCACGCGTTCCAGGCCCTGCGGTACATGACTGAGAGCGGGCAGGACATCAACTCCGAGAACGGCCTGGCCCTTCAGCACGTCTTCTTCTCTGTGCTGGACTACGCCGAGCGGCAGACCAGGAGCGGGCAGCGGGTCTGGAAGCTTCTCGGCCCCATCAAGATGCAGGACGGCGCCTGCTGCCAAAAGTACGGCCTCGGTAAGTGCCAATGGTTCTATTATCAATACATGTCCTTTTTTTTACTTCCGGGGCGGAAGTACTGTTTTGAGTGGCGTATGGGGAGTTTGTATGTATCTGTTCCTCAGTAGCAAAGATTGGAATTGGGCGGGCGGAGATTGGGTTTCAGTTCATACAGGTTGGTAGGATGTGGTATGAGGTCGCTAGGAATGTGTACTGTGTAATCTTAGCTTGGTATGCAACATATAACATTTGTAATGCCGGAGTAAGTTACATCATACAATCGTGATAATCCATTCTTTGACATAATTCAATCGAATATTTTCCCATGATCATACAATACAGCTGGAACTCTTTCACAAATACCCAAAACACTTTCGGAAGTTTGAAATCTACGATTTCTTGTTCTCTTAGTCTTACGAAAACAATGTCAGTCCTATCTATAGTCTCCTAATTATAACGTCTCCTACAAGACTTTCCTATGTTTTGAGTTAAAACTTTTGATCCAACACAAAAACGTTCTCTCACCCAGAGCTTAAGACCAGTCACTCTCACTCCTCAGTAGACTGACTCAGTTAGGCTTGTCACGTGGCTTCTTTGAAGTGTGACGTCAACACTGGGTCAAAGGTATCTGGTAGACGATGTCGGCCCCCGTCGCGACCCCCGTCGCGACAGCCCTAGGCGAGAGAACTTTTTGTGTTGGATCAAAATTTTTAACTTCTTAGGGAAGCGAGTGTGGGAGCCCCGACATACAAGTAGGATGGTACCCAGGCTAGTAACCACCAACACAGATGAACTTATATGACAGTATAATATAAGCCTTACCCATGATATATACTTGCCGTCTATGTCCACTAGGTACCTACTACCGTGCCACGGAGGCCTTCCACTTCATGGGTATGCTGTGAGAACCTCACTTCCTCCCGAAGGACACCGACTGCTGATGTGATGTGTTGTCTAACTGCTGACAATAGTAAAATCGTAGACTCAATTGAACATTAACGTCGTAGGCATGTTTTGCACCTATTGGTTCTGTGCTTTAACGGACTCGTGTGATAGGCTAAGTATTCTTTTAGTTAGTGGACCTGACATTAGCCCTCTTAGGCTATATTTACAATGTTGAAACAATGAGTCTGAAGACACAGTAATGGTGTACGGTTGCACTGCCACTGGACTCGAGAGGAAGCCCGTATTTCTAAATGGAGTCCTGTTGTAGGTCACTTTCTATGCACTCGTAGATGGCTGGCACCAATTCAAAAATGATAAGACTTGAATAAAAGAGTTGAGTCAGTTTAATAGTGTCATAATTTGATCCTATGACGTGTTTTCTTTATTCTGCGAAGCAAACCAGCTTAGATACGCAAAGAAATTGTCATTAAAGCAACTGTATAGATTTCTCAAACTGGCACACGTTACAAGTAGCATCCACTACTTTTCGTCAGTGACTATTAAACGGAATGTTTTGTAAAAGCCCTACAATCTCTCTAAACCTGATGACATGTTAAGTACACACACATATAAGAAGCATACACAGTCTAGCACTTAGTTTTGTTCCCTATTATGGCATAGACTTGGCAGTGACAGAACGTGGAAACGTCTGATGTGGACCAGATGCCTTGTACTAAAACCAGCGTGCGAGGCAGGAAAAATGTGCCAAATGGTTAACTTGGCTCCTACACTACAGGCAGACATGTGCAGCAGAAGACATTTCGCGGATATTTACTCTAAGTGTGCCAGGTAGAAGTGATTAATACCACATGCTTTGTTGACGCAACCTGCTTTCTTTTTTTTAAAACGTGAATATATATCAACTATAGCTCGAAAATGTCGTAAATGCAAAAAGTGCCGTTCTTTTCGCAAAAAGTACAACTCAGAAAATATGACAGGGTGGTTTCTACGTGACATGGTGCTGGTGAAAAATCACAATAATAAGTACATTCATCAACATGTTCTGGCACTAAAGGTACTGGCCGTTGCCAAGTTTCAAGGCTTTCAAGGTTCCAGAAGGTTGCGACATTAGGCCACAGCAAGTAATTTTTATGGATGACATCAGCGCGCGCATTAATTTTCGCCTGATTTTGGGAATTTGAAAGAGATTTTGTTGCCTTCTGAGTTCTGACAGTGGTCAACATGCCGAAAATGGGCAAAGATGTCTGTTGCCATTCCGGAAGGTGGATGGCACATATCTATAAAGAGAGGAGACAAGAAAAGGCTTTGATTTAATGTTTTGTTTCTTACTTTGATGAAGTGATATGTGATGTTGGCTGCGTTAATGTGGTGTTCCCACTGAATCAAAACCATTTGTACAGTGATTGAGCCAAAATTTGAAAATGTAGAAACCTTGTTTTTTTTCGGCCCGCCTTGTTTTTTTTCGCCCTATCGCATTAGATTTGGAATCTGCGGAGGATGTCATCCATAAGATTTACTTGCTGTGGCCTTATAGAGTACGTAGATAGAGCAATGGGGTCGTCCATCACGGTTATTGGGGAGGGGAGTTGAATGAGAAATTAGAAAACTAGGATGGAAAAAGACGATCGAATGAAAGAACAACATCATACACCCATTGCTTTTAGCACGTAACGTTAAAGACCTGTCCGGTAAGAAAAAGGATCACGTTAATAACATTTTACCACAGTAGCAACCACTTTGTAAAAAGTGCAGTTAGTTCACCCCCAACTTATTATACAGTAGCAAGCAAAGCAGCTTGGAGTGAGTTGGGACACTGTCTCTGTTCAATCAAAAGCCAAACATGGTACCACTGGGGTTCCTCTGTATCGTCCTGTTCACGGTGGAGTCTACCGCCGCTAACCCCGTGCCGAAGCCGGACTACTCGCAGGTGATCGCCCAGGCGGCGTGCTCGGGAGTCATCGGGGCGGAGTCCGCCTACATCTGGGCCGTGCCGCGGGACTGCTCCGCTACCGGGAACGGGATGACCTGCGACCAGGTCTGTCAGGAACACCAGTCTGCCCTGTTGGACCAGACCTCCAGCAGACGGTAATGACAGTTGTGGTTACATGTACATGTTTCTCTTCCCCATTCAACTCTAAATCCCCCACCCCACCCAACGATTCGCACAACCACCCACCAACAGACGTCGTCCTTTCTGTCTGCCCATTCACTCCTAGATCCCCTGCTCCATATGTCGTCGCGTACTGTTTTGTTACGTTTACCTTCACATATTGTCCTTGCTCTCTTTCTTCTTCGTCTTCGCGTCCTCTCCAGACAAGTAAGGTCAATGACCTGGACCAAACGACTGTCACTATGGTAGCGTGCTGTAGCAGACATCCCGTGGTGTTGGGTTACAGCTTACATTATTTAGCAACGTTGGAGGGGCTGGCCATCATATATATGAATGTATTTGTGTAAGAATACACAGTAAAATAAGCAGTGGTTTGTTAGGCTAGACCGCCCCCATGTGAATAGAAGTTTACACATGTTACTAGTATTCTAAGTTTCTTTTCTCTTATTGACTCTTATCCATTTAGTAATTCATTTATTTAATCGTGTTTTATATCAGCCCAAACGTGTTCTGCTTTGACGCCTTCCAACTGCACTTCATCCGTACGTCGGAGATGGACTATACCAAGACGTACCACTACCAGCGTGTGCAGGGGTGTTCTTGGCGGGCCAACCACTGCGGACCCAACTACTGCTGCTGCCGTACCCCGTATTAAAAGCGGCGTGGCGATGTCATAAGCATGCAAAAGCGCCACCTTGCAGATCCCTAGCATAACGCATCACCTGAGCTTGGTTGAAGTGAATACAAGAAACACAGAAACTGTACCCAACTCATGACCATTTAACATCAACGTAATCTTTAATTGTAGACAGAGAAATAAACTTTGAAGTTGACAAAACTTTGCATAGCATTTCTTCCTTTTAGTCATACCATTTTGTTGTCAGTCTTGTATTGTCACTGTAAGTACAGCAATATAGATGCTAAGGCCATGTTGATTTGATTATATGGATGACATCCTCTGGGAACCCCAAAACTGATGCGCGCGTGCGAATAAAAAAAAAGTTTTGCAAAAAAAAAGTTGCTTTCACTATGAAATCTACGTGGTCAAGAAGGTGGAACAAATGGCACAGAATATGTTATGGCGAATAATCTACTCTTCGAATTCATTTCTTTACATTTTTGTCCTTTTTCCTTTGATTTTGGCATTCTACGACATTGGTATCGTTTCTAAATGTTTTCCTTGCAACCTATGGTATATTTTTGTTCATTTAGCAACTGTTTTGCACGATTTACAGTATGGTTGAAAACTTTTTTTTTTGGAAACGGCCGAAAAGTCATGCGCGCGCGGATGTCATCCATATAATCAAATCAACATGGCCTAATGGAGAAAAACAATTATGAAATAATTATTGATATTGGCACAATCCCAGCCATGTTTGCTGTCTTATTAGGTCTTGTAGAAGAGCTCATACAATACCCACGTGCATGTATTAAGCGGCACACAACATGGAGGGGTCGGTCAAGTATGATCCGCCGAGGGTTACGTCATAACTGACCAGAGCATTCGACTCGACTGTGTACACTTTGTTCTCGCGAGAGTTGATCGAGAAGTAGCGTCTACCTTCAAGAGGCAAGCAGTACCACGCCTGCGTGGACGTGTCTTTCTGCTTCGTGGTTAGATCGAGAATGAGGATTGTCCGTGACCCTATTGGGCTGAACTGCCCTGGGCGATCATACCTAGTGCTGTAGAATTTGCCGCAAGCGATGAACGGGGGCATGTTAACGTTTGCAGACGGGTCAGCAAACTCTGTATCTATGGTCTCTTCTATGCTAAGATCGTTAGCGTTTAGTTTGGTCAGCTGGTAGACACCGTTGTTACGACCGATAGCCCACACGCTACCCGCATCGACGGCGAGGTAGACATAAGACGGGCCCGCCGCCCAGTGGGAGAGTTGAGCGGTGGGGAGGGACTGAAGCGCCACGAAAGCCCTAAGGTTAAAGTCGTACTTGACTATCTGTGCTTTTTCATTGCTAGTACAGTCATAATTATACGACAGGCAATCGGGGAATCGTTGATAGTAGAGGGCGTTGTTGTAGACGACATGGCCCTGCCCCCACCACGCCATCCCACCGCTGCCTCCCGACCCAGGTAGGCGGTAGGTGGTCAGGACGTTTCCCGCGACGAAGTCGTCCATCGTGCGGTACTCTTCGATGGTGTTGCCGGTGGTTGTCGGCAGGTACCAGACTTTGTCGGCGTTGTCGGCCGAGGAGTGTTGGTCTCGCAGGAGAGTGCCATCGCCGCCGTTCCCTCGGATCGTCCGTCTTCCAGAGAAAGACGTTACCGGGTCCTGACAGGCCAGGGATGTGCCTAAAAGGAAACCAATATAATGTATCCAAAAGTAACATGGAAACTAAGTTCTGTCTTTGTACATTGTTTTGCATATTTTTGTAAGCTTGGATACATAGTCACAATATCATTCTTATAATGTATTTATACTTGTATGTTAGGTAACATGTACCTATAATGTATCATCTTTTGTTAAATTCAAGAAACTATAAAAACTATACGTTAGTCTTCAACATCTAAGTCTTCAATAACTCTGCACATGAGAAAACGTTTCAGGCAGAAAAAAAAAACTCAACCAAAAGTGACGACGTCACAGCGACGGCGGCAAAGATAGCGGCAAAGCCAGCTTTCACAAACATCTACAGGAAAGAAAGGCAAAATAAGAATATAAATCAATCTTTAGCAGTGTGTGTAACGTTAGCATTTTCTAAAATAAATTCTGGGAACCAATTGCAACCAGAAATCTATTTCACAGGTTAAAGACGCATCAGTAAGAAAAAAAATCCCCACTTTACCTTTTCTGATTTTGGAGCGAGTCTGATGACTGAAATGGGCGGTGTTGGGTGGACTTCTCTCTCCCTACAGGACGGGCCCTTTATATCTGTACATGTGTACATATGACACACCTGGTCCTTACCTAATATCCGGAGGTAAGTGTTATTTTTGGTGACCGCTTCCTTGTTGTCAGCAAAATTCTGCTCGCCTCTGATGTCACAGACCTGTTAACGTTTGCTTTTTAATGATTGTTCAGGGCGTTCTCAATATCCGGACTTCAGAAGAACACTTCAGTTTTAAGGACAAAGTTATCGTTATTTTGGAGACCACTTCCTTGTTATCAGAAAAATTCTGCTCGTCTCTGACGTCACTGACGGTTTTCTTTATTGATTAGGAACGTTTGAAGTTCTGCGTGTGGAGCATGCGTGTGCTTACAATACCAAGCGAACCCGATTCACTTGTAGACATGACTAAATCAAACATAGACTTGTCAACGTTTTCCCTGTTGCATCGAGTGGCTACATAAATAGTATTTAATCATTTTAGGGCACATTTGTATGAAAGAAAGAATGGGAAAAAGAATAGCCAGGTCATTAACTTCGTTTAACTCAGTCCTAATCGTAGCGACAGGGTAACGTGGTTTATAATTGCCCTGTTGAAGATGACAGATGGTCGTCAAAATATCGACTCTTGTTATTAAACAGGTGGTCATGAATTCAGAACCTTGCGCATTCAATAAAAGATGGTTGTATAACATTTCCTTTACGTATTTCCTTTACGTATTTCAGGTATAGAGATATAGGGTGTACTGAGAAGTCGAGCTTAAACTTTGTACCTTTGACAGCTATCAACAGCACTCCTGTACACACATACACCAACGTCCGGTCGGTCATAGGTGATGTTAATGATTAAACATATCGTCGGATCCATGCATACATGTATATAGAGGCGCCGTTCTGTTTCGCACGTATGTCCACGTGGAATGTGTATTTCCATAAATACGCATGAAAGAACCGCCACACCAATACGCGCAAAACAAGCCTGAACCTTTGAGAGAAGGCTTTGGTAAAAAATGCTATGTATGGACTGAAAAAATAAGGGCAGCGACTTACTATTGAGCTACAACCAAGAAATACAGTAGCGATATCAAATAAGGATTGGAAGAATGAGGGATGCGAAAGTCATGATTAAGCTAATTCACAGATGAAACTATATATTTCATCCATATCTATGGTATAGGGTGAAATATAAATATCAAACGCCAGGTCTGCTTCATTCTAGCTCTTTGACAAGATTTTGACTACACTCCTGCAATATTAGTAGCCATTCACTCAGTAACAATATTACTGTGTGCCTTCCACTTAGCATCTCTTGTAGTAATCATTTTTATAAACTAAGCAACGATGACTTGATCGCGTGCGGGACGAAATTGTTTGCTAAAATATGAAGCAATTTTAAGCCTGTTTGTCATAATATTCTCTTCAGTCATACTTGCTTCTGATGAGCTGTAATAATTATTGTTTTCTTGGAAGTGAGGTAATGAATAGTTGCTGTTTCTTTTCTCTTATTGGTCGAACCGCTGATTTTAATTGATTGACAGCCACAGAGTCACAGCAACGGCTTATATAAATGTCCCAACTCTACCAGTTGGTACCTGTTGCTACCAGTTGCTACCAGTTTGTACCTCTAACAGTAGCTTGCTGCTGACCTTATCTGACCTTACTAGCTATGAAAGGTTACCTAAGGTCAGACGGCGTTCTATATTGCCAGATGGAACAATACGATTCGAACGTTCTATTGTTACGACACAAATACAGTAACTGCTTTAGCACACCATCCACCCCAAAGCTCTGACCACAACAGTTACTGTTACTTTGGTCCCTCACAGAAACACTCTAGTCCACTACAGCTGCATCTCTTCGCGACCATGTTTGTCCCCAAAGGAATGAGGAGGGCCAGAAAGGCCCAAAGAGGTAAACAGAAATGTTCAGAGACGTCCTTTGTTTTTACAAAAATTATCTTAGTGGCTCTCAACTAGTGGCGGCATAGAATTTGTTCTGTTTTGGGAAGGAGTCTTGGAAAGTTGGGGTAGGGGGTGTTATAAATTTTATATCAAACCCATTTATATCTAAAAATTAAAGTAAAATATGTAACAGATTTCAGCTTGGAAAGTACAAAGTGGTGGAACTGCATACTTGTCTATGTATAGTGATAATAGGACCAGGTACTGGCAATATTGTAGTTAAAACAAACACCGCTTAAACGTACTACGTTTAACTTTGAGATAACATTTTTACATACTTTTCTAGCCCATGCAGAAGCACAAGTTCGTGAAGAAAAGAAAGCTCAAGTTGGAATTCCTCCCCGTAAAGACGTGGACGTTGCCCGTAGACTTACGCTGAAGGAGGCTGGACTGTACCACCTGGTCCTCGAGACGGGGAGGTACATGGTTTTCGTCTTGTTGGTGCTTGGGATAGCTCACACCATGGCCGTGCCCAACGCATATCACCTCAGTAACAACGTGGAAAATACGTTCCTGTCTAAACTGGACAAGGTAAATCGTTCTACTAAAATAAGAATTGCATATACTAGTATCTAGTATCATATTTCATTGTGATCAACGCTACATGGATATGAAACACGTCATACTCCGAACAATTCAAATAAGAAAGCAAGAAAAGAGAAGTCGTTATTTCTTCATTTTGTCGTCAGTCTTAGATTTTTAATTCTGTTAATTGTAATTATATAATGCCTTGTTCCAGGACCTGCAATGTTCTTGCTGCTGTTAACTGGAATTGCTTTAAACAGGCCACCTTTCTGTGACGTCAAGCTCTTTTACCTTTGCAGACACAGTCCTTTAGCGCCTCCTTGCGGTTCTAGCTAGAACGAAGTTACCGATTCACTAACTTCTAGCTCTTTCAATATTTAATATAGGGGAGCAGTTCACAAAACGACTTCTATTTCCAATTTGATTCCCAACAGATTAACGTCAGTGTCGATGTGTATGATTGGATGGAGAATGAGCTGCTCCCGAAGTTGTCCGCGGACGGATACTCTGCCGACGGCCAGTCCATACTTGTTGGATCAGTGAGACTGCGCCAAGTCCGAGTTCCGTTATGTGCGTATTTCAACATATACTTTAGTAGATTACTAGTATCATTACTGTCGTGCCTCGATGGATAGATAGAGGTCGCTACTGGACGTAGTAGGATTACAAGCATGTTTGTCAAAAACAATTCTATCAAAAGCGTGAACACTTTTAATTAAGGAAAGACTAGACAAACATGAAACAGACGCAACTGATGTGTGACTATGTGACAGAAGCCTAGGATGTCAGTGCATTGAAAGGAAAGAGCGACCTAAACTGGAATAACAAGCTTTAAGGATGTTCCTACCTGGCCGAAGGCCAAGGAATCTACTCTACTCTACTCTAAAACCCATCCGAACTTGGTTCAATATGACTATCCATTCCAAACTTGAAAATAGTATACGCGTTATGTATAGTAAAAAGATAATAATTTTCTTACTTATTAAGCAAGTAGACAAGCGAATATAATGTTCTTAGAACATTCTACATATATTAGGTAGAGTGTAGCGATGTTAACATCAAGATGAACAGATCATGGTGTAATATTGACACTCCTCTGCTCCAAGTACTTTTATAAATGTTTACTGACTACATTCCTCTTTCCTATCCAACCTTTCAGATACATGCGCGTTTCACGGCGGAAGGATCTCCAGCGCCAGGCTGCTGTCCATGTACTTCGACCTGTGCGCGGAGGACTACACGCGGGGTGGTGCGGCCAGAGGTCACTACCGGCCTGGATGGGCGAAACTGTCGAACATGACCGGTCTACCCAACATGTCAAGCCCCTGGATTTACAGGCAAACAGACAGTATTTGGTCCCTATCGCACTACGACAGCGGTGGATACGTGGCGGATATAGATCCCAGATCACCCAAACATAACGAACATTTGAGTGAGCTGCGCAACATGAGCTGGATCGACAGACAGACGAGGGCAATTTTTGTGGATTTCACTCTGTACAATGCTAACGTGGATTTGTTCTGTGTGATTTCCATACTTGTAGAAACCCCAGCTACTGGAAGAGCGAGAGCCCAGTTCGACCTACCAGTTTTACGCCTCCACCTTTACAACCAAACCACCGACACTGTGCTCTTGGTTTTCCTGATTGGCTACGTCGCCTTTCTGGCTTACTTCATCTATTACGCTGCACATGGTATCCTCAAAGATAGAATGAAATATCTCAAAGATGTATGGAAGGTTCTGGACCTGATAATTGTAACTTTGTCTCTGATAGCAGTCGCCGCTTTTGGTGCACTGATGATGTTGATCGAAACTACCCTAAAAAACTATCGCGAAAACAGCACCTCGTTTCTAAACATCGCTCCCGTCGTCCTAGTTGACAGAACACTGCTGAGCGTGGTTTCTATCTTGGCCTTCATTGGCTGTTGCCGATGTTGTAAATTACTGAGGGGAAACAACAGTCTCTCTTTGATGCGGAGTACTTTCGGCCATGTGATAAAGCCTATGTTCTCGCATGGAGTCGTCATTGTGATCGTCATGCTTGCCTATGGCATGATGGGTAATATCTCTTTCGGCTGTGACGTAGAGTCCTACTCCACCATCTACAACGCACTCCTGACTGTAACAAACTTTGTGATTGGTTCGTACCAACTGGACGATTACGTCATGTTTCCAACTTTGGGGACGATGTTTTTCATCAGTTTCATTCTTTCCATGAATTTCGTTCTCTTGAATTTCTTCGCGACTATCATGATGGACGTGTTTTTCGTTGAGAAGGAGACTTTTGAGACCCCAGAAGATAGAGAAATTGTGACGTACACTATAAACAGGGTCCTGGCCCGCCTGTTAGGTTGGAGGGGTCACAGGTCATAGAGAGAACCGTTTAACAACCAATGGTGTCTAGCCTGACCAGATCAAGAACAATATATTAAGAAACATGTAACAGTCGCCTGGAATGGTTGAATAAATTTTGGGACAATTCGTCTCTATCACTGAACAACGTCTCGACATTTTTGTTAATTAACCTTTCTGCAAACACTGTAACATCCGTTCATAAGATAGCTAGCTAACATGGGCACAAAATATTTTAAAAATGCAAGTATTTTTAAAATGCAAACCAAAAGCATCGTCCCTAGGAGCAGATTGCCGATGGAAATAGATAGGACTTTTACTAAAGTATCCAAATGGCATAATAACATACTTTTAGGCAGTACTATATTAGGCACATTTAGGGAAGAGAAAGCAAGGAGAAAACCAAGAAAAGTGGCGAAAGGGTCGGTGAGTTTCAACCACACATGCGACAGTGTCTAGAGGGAAGCCCAGCTGGACAAAAGGAATTAGAAAATTGTTGCTGTCGACCTACATGTTGGGACTGACATTAAGGCCTGGGGCAGCGAGTAAGTAAGTAATGAATCGAACACAAACCCAGGGTTGCTGTATATTGTGACTAATGTACAGAACTTACAGGTCCAAAACATGCCATTGTGGTGAGGTTAGGCGGAATAATAAGTGTCAGAGGTCGAACGTTTTCACACTCAAGTCATTGACCAGATAACTTGGTCGACATAATTGAATTGATCAGCTGCATGCAGAAATCATAGTACGTGTTGTGGTGGACTGTGTCCTAATGCTTGTTTATAGTCAGTAGCCCACGAAAAAGAGACATAGATTATATTTCTAAGAACTGTCTTCAGAAATTTATTCTGATTATTGACCGGCATGGTCTGTATCGCGTTAAATGTGTCGAATAGCCTGGTGGCTTGGCTAGCGGGCACGAGATTGAAAGGTCATGGGTTCGATTCCTTGCATTTCTGGATAGACGTTGTGTCCTTGGAAAATACACTTTACATAGTTGTCTTTCCTCACGGGTGTAAAATGAATACGAGACTTCGGTTGGGGAGGTAGAATGTGGTGAAAGGAGAGGGATGGGCTGCCGCTCCACCTTCCAATACCGTGCACTAGACACAGTAGGTTAACAACCCTGCCATTACGGCCTCAAAATGGGCGTGGGACCTCCTCTGCACCTGTATCGCGGAGTGATACAAAGTACTTGTGGCAAAGTGATACAAGCTACATAGGTGGCAATCAATGTGCCTGATGATTGAAGTAGTGCGAAAAGCTGTTGTCGTCGAACGTAAACGTATCGCAGTTCGTCATGTAGAACATATTCATCAAAAGGAAAACGTTTCTATTAGAGTTTTGCTGTTTGGGCAGAAAAACTCTGAAAAAGTCATATCATAGTCTGACTTGGAATGAACTCTAATGTTTTTAAATCAGTATACCTTACGTCTTTGGCCTTTCGGTGAACCCTATTTCAGAAAGCTAAAAACGACCTCGAACTTACAGTATAATAGGGGTACTTTACCTTATGGTACGAGTAGTCACAATATAGTTCTCTGTCGTAGGTCACTTTCTATGCACTCGTAGATGGCTGGCACCAATTCAAAAATGATAAGCTTGAATAAAAGAGTTGAATCAGTTTAATAGTGTCATAATTTGATCCTATGACGTGTTTTCTTTATTCTGCGAAGTAAACCAGCTTAGACACGCAAAGAAATTGTCATTCAAGCAACTGTATAGATTTCTCAAACTGCCACACGTTACAAGTAGCATCCACTACTTTTCGTCAGTGACTAACGGAATGTTTTGTAAAAGCCCTACAATCTTTCTAAACCTGATGACATGTTAAGTACATACACATATAAGAAGCAAACAAAGTCTAGCACTTAGTTTTGTTCCCTATTATGGCATAGACTTGGCAGTGACAGAACGTGGAAACGTCTGATGTGGACCAGATGCCTTGTACTAAAACCAGCGTGCGAGGTAGGAAAAATGTGCCAAATGGTAAACTTGGCTCCTACAGGCAGACAGCAGAAAACATTTCGCGGATATTTACTCTAAGTGTGCCAGGTAGAAGTGATTAATACCACATGCTTTGTTGACTGAACTTATGTTTTCCATTTTTTAAAGCGTGAATATATATCAACTAGCTGAAAAAATATATCGTAAATGCAAAACATTCTATGCTTTTCGCAAATAGCACAACGCAGAAAATATGACAGGATTGTTTCTACGTGACATGGTGCTGGTGAAAAATCACAATAATAAGTACATTCATCAACATGTTCTGGCACTAAAGGTACTGGCCGTTGCCAAGTTTCAAGGCTTTTAAGGTTCCAGAAGGTTGCGACATTAGGCCACAGCAAGTAATTTTTATGGATGACATCAGCGCGCGCATTAATTTTCGCCTGATTTTGGGAATTTGAAAGAGATTTTGTTGCCTTCTGAGTTCTGACAGTGGTCAACATGCCGAAAATGGGCAAAGATGTCTGTTGCCATTCCGGAAGGTGGATGGCACATATCTATAAAGAGAGGAGACAAGAAAAGGCTTTGATTTAATGTTTTGTTTCTTACTTTGATGAAGTGATATGTGATGTTGGCTGCGTTAATGTGGTGTTCCCACTGAATCAAAACCATTTGTACAGTGATTGAGTCAAAATTTGAAAATGTAGAAACCTTGTTTTTTTTCGGCCCGCCTTGTTTTTTTCGCCCTATCGCATTAGATTTGGAATCTGCGGAGGATGTCATCCATAAGATTTACTTGCTGTGGCCTTATAGAGTACGTAGATAGAGCAATGGGGTCGTCCATCACGGTTATTGGGGAGGGGAGTTGAATGAGAAATTAGAAAACTAGGATGGAAAAAGACGATCGAATGAAAGAACAACATCATACACCCATTGCTTTTAGCACATAACGTTAAAGACCTGTCCGGTAAGAAAAAGGATCACGTTAATAACATTTTACCACAGTAGCAACCACTTTGTAAAAAGTGCAGTTAGTTCACCCCCAACTTATTATACAGTAGCAAGCAAAGCAGCTTGGAGTGAGTTGGGACACTGTCTCTGTTTAATCAAAAGTCAAACATGGTACGCCTGGTGTTCCTCTGTATCGTCCTGTTCACGGTGGAGTGTACCGCCGCTAACCCCGTGCCGAAGCCGGACTACTTGCAGGTGATCGCCCAGGCGGCGTGCTCGGGAGTCATCGGGGCGGAGTCCGCCTACATCTGGGCCGTGCCAAGGGACTGCTCCGCTACCGGGGACGGGATGACCTGCGAGCAGGTCTGTCAGGAACACCAGTCTGCCCTGTTGGACCAGACCTCCAGCCGACGGTAATTACAATGGGCATGTTTAAAATTTTATGGCTTTTCCTTGTGGTTATATGTTTCTCTTCCCCATCCCGAGTCTTGTTATCTGTCTTTTAAATCCCCTAACTCACCCAACCATTCGTACTACATCCACCCACCCACCAACTAACAGATTTCCTCCTTTCCGTCTGGACCCATTCTCTCCTAGATCCTCTGCTCCATCTGTCCTTGCGTACTGTTCAGTAACGTTTACCTTCACATATTGTCCTTGGTCTCTTTCTTCTTCGTCTTCTCGTCCTCTCCAAACAAGTAAGGTCAAAGACCTGGACAAAACGGCTGTCACTATGGTAACGTACTGTAGCAGACACCCCGTGGTGTTGGGTTACATTATGTAGCAACGTTGGAGGGGCTGGCCATCATATATATGAATGTATTGTAAGAATACACAGTAAAATAAGCAGTGGTTTGTTAGGCTAGACCGCCCCCATGTGAATAGAAGTTTACACATGTTACTAGTACTCTAAGTTTCTTTTCTCTTATTGACTCTTATCCATTGAGTAATTCATTTATTTAATCGTATTTTATATCAGCCCAAACGTCTTCTGCTTTGACGCCTTCCAACTCCACTTCATCCGTACGTCGGAGATGGACTATACCAAGACGTACCACTACCAGCGTGTGCAGGGGTGTTCTTGGCGGGCCAACCACTGCGGACCCAACTACTGCTGCTGCCGTACCCCGTATTAAAAGCGGTGTGGCGTTGTTATAAGCATGCAAAAGCGCCGCCTTGCAGATCCCTAGCATAACTCATCACCTGAGCTTGGTTGAAGTGAATACAAGAAACACAGAAACTGTACCCAACTCATGACCATTTAACATAAACGTAATTTTTAATTGTAGACAGAGAAATAAACTTTGAAGTTGACCAAAACTTTGCATGGTATTTCTTCCTTTTATCCATACCATTTTGTTGTCAGTCTTGTATTGTCACTGTAAGTACAACAATATAGGTAATGAACAGTTGCTGTTTGTTGTTCTCTTATTGATCGAATCGCTAATTTTGATTGACAGGCACTGAGCCAAAGCAACAACTTATATATAACGTTATGTACCTCTACCAGTTGGCCAATGCTGTTGACCTTATCTGACCTTACTAGCTATGAAAGGTTACCTAAGGTCAGACGGCATTCTATATTGCCAGATGGAACAATACGATTCGAACGTTCTATTGTTACGACACAACTACTGTAACTGCTTTAGCACCACTATCCGCCCCAAGCTCTGACCACAACAGTTACTGTTACTTTGGTCCGAAACAGGAACACTCTAGTCCACTACAGCTGCATCTCTTCGCAACCATGTTTGTCCCCAAAGGAATGAGGAGGGCCAGAAAGGCACAAAGAGGTAAACAGAAATGTTTAGAGACGTCCTTTGTTTTTACAAAAAAATCATCTTGGCGGCTCTCCACTAGTGGCGGCATAGAATATTTGTTCTGTTTTGGGAAGGAGTCTTGGAAAGCTGGGGGGGGGGGGCGTATGAAATTTTATATCAAACCCATTTATATTAAAAAAGAAAAAGTTTTCAGCTTGGAAAGTATAACTGCATACTTGTTTGTGTGTAGTGATGATAGGACCAGGTACAGGCATTTATTGTCGTTAAAATAAACACCTCTTAAACGCACTACGTTGAACTTGAAGATAACATTTTTACATACTTTCCTAGCCCATGCAGAAGCACACGTTCGTGAAGAAGAGAAAGCTCAAGTTGGAATTCCTCCCCGTAAAGACGTGGACGTTGCCCGTAGACTTACACTGAAGGAGGCTGGACTGTACCACCTAGTCCTCGAGACGGGGAGGTACATGGTTTTCGTCTTGTTGGTGCTTGGGATAGCCCACACCATGGCCGTGCCCAACGCATATCACCTCAGTAACAACGTGGAAAATACGTTCCTGTCTAAACTGAACAAGGTAAATCGTTGTACTAAATAAGAATTGCATATACTAGTATCTAGTATCATATTTCATTGTGATCAACGCTACATGGATATGAAACACGTCATACTCCGAACAATTCAAATAAGAAAGCAAGAAAAGAGTAGTCGTTATTTCTTCATTTTGTCGTCAGTCTTAGATTTTTATTTCTGTTAATTGTAATTATATAATGCCTTGTTCCAGGACCTGCAATGTTCTTGCCTGCTCTTAACTGGAATTGCTTTAAACAAGCCACCTTTCTGTGACGTCAAGCTCTTTTACCTTTGCAGACACAGTCCTTTAGCGCCTCCTTGCGGTTCTAGAACGAAGTTACCGATTCACTAACTTCTAGCTCTTTCAATATTTAATATAGGGGAGCAGTTCACAAAACGACTTCTATTTCCAATTTGATTCCCAACAGATTAACGTCAGTGTCGATGTGTATGATTGGATGGAGAATGAGCTACTTCCGAAGTTGTCGACGGACGGATACTCTGCCGACGGCCAGTCTGTACTTGTTGGATCAGTGAGACTGCGCCAAGTCCGAGTACCTTTATGTGCGTATTTCAACACATATAGATTATCATTACTGTCGTGCCTCGATGGATGGCTAGATGGCGCTTCTGGGCGTAGTAGTAGTTGACAAGCATGTTTGTCAAAACCAATTCTATTAAAAGCGAGAACAGTTTTAAGGAAAGACTAGACAAACTCATGAAACAGAACTGATGTATAACAACAGAGCTCTAGTACTCAAATCTAAAACTCATCTGAACTTGGTTCAATATGAGTATCCATTCCGAACTTGAAAATAGTATACGTGTTATGTATAGTAAAGATTCATTTGCTTACTAAACAAGTAGACAAACGAATATATATAAGAACATTCTACATATATTAGTTAGAGTATAGCAATGTCAACATCAAGATGAACAGGTTATGGTGTAATATAGACACTCCTCTGCTCCAAGTACTTTTATAAATGTTTACTCACTACATTCCTCTTTCCTATCCAACCCTTCAGATACATGCGCGTTTCACGGCGGAAGGATCTCCAGCGCCAGGCTGCTGTCCATGTACTTCGACCTGTGCGCGGAGGACTACACGCGGGGTGGTGCGGCCAGAGGTCACTACCAGCCTGGATGGGCGAAACTGTCGAACATGACCGGTCTACCCAACATGTCAAGCCCCTGGATTTACAGGCAAACAGACAGTATTTGGTCCCTGTCGCACTACGACAGCGGTGGATACGTGGCGGATATAGATCCCAGATCGCCCACACATAACGAACACTTGAGTGAGCTCCGCAACATGAGCTGGATCGACAGACAGACGAGGGCAATTTTTGTGGATTTCACTCTGTACAATGCTAATGTGGATTTGTTCTGTGTGGTTTCCATACTTGTAGAAACCCCGGCTACCGGAAGAGCGAGAGCCCAGTTCGACCTACCAGTTTTACGCCTCCACCTTTACAACCAAGCCACCGACACTGTGCTCCTGGTCTTCCAGATTTCCTACGTCGCTTTTCTCGCTTACTTCATCTATTACGCTGCACATGGTATCCTCAAAGATAGAATGAAATATCTCAAAGATGTATGGAAGGTTCTGGACCTGATAATTGTAACGTTATCTCTGATAGCAGTCGCCTCTTTTGGTGCACTGATGATGTTGATCGAAACTACCCTACAAAACTATCGCGAAAACAGCACCTCGTTTCTAAATATCGCTCCCGTCGTCCTAGTTGACAGAACACTGCTGAGCGTGGTTTCTATCTTGGCTTTCATTGGCTGTTGCCGATGTTGTAAATTACTGAGGGGAAACAACAGTCTCTCTTTGATGCGGAGTACTTTCGGCCATGTGATAAAGCCTATGTTTTCGCATGGAGTCGTCATTGTGATCGTCATGCTCGCCTATGGCATGATGGGTAATATCTCTTTCGGCTGTGACGTAGAGTCCTACTCCACCATCTACAACGCACTCCTGACTGTAACAAACTTTGTGATTGGTTCGTACCAACTGGACGATTACGTCATGTTTCCAACTTTAGGGACGATGTTTTTCATCAGTTTTATTCTTTCCATGAATTTCGTTCTCCTGAATTTCTTCGCGACTATCATGATGGACGTGTTCTTCGTTGAGAAGGAGACTTTTGAGACCCCAGAAGACAGAGAAATTGTGACGTACACTATAAACAGGGTCCGGGCCCGCCTGTTAGGTTGGAGGGGTCACAGGTCATAGAGAGAACCGTTTAACCAATGGTGTCGAGCCTGACCAGATCAAGAACGACTAAGAAAAACATTCGCCTGGAATGATTGAATAAATTTTGAGACAATTCGTCTCTATTGAATCGACATTTTTGTTAATCCTTTCTACAAATACTAACATACGTTCATGAGTTAGGTATTTAGAATAGCTACACTAGCATACGCCATACCGTTTATCGGGATAGTTTCATTGTTATCACCGTTATCGAAATGGCGTTATGTTGGGTGTGCTCATAATTCGAGAACAAGCACATGTAGGTTCAAGGCCACAAGTAGCTTTGAATGTCTAACTGGGTGTAGTTCTATCACAAACGGTGATGCATAATGTAGTACACGAGTATGTAATTAAAAAGAAGATTACGACATGTGATTTAAACAATATCCAATAGGCCTTTATTTTACATATATATTTGATACATACCCTATATAATGACCTGGCCAATTGCAAACACTCTAACACTATTAAAAAAAGAGGAATAAATAATTATTGTATCATGTAGACTTTAGTTACTTTATTTCATTGTTCTTTTATGTTTTGTAATTTGCAATTAGCCTCCGGGCAAGAAATTGCAATAAACTTTTCAACTATATGCATGCAAACAAAAATGAGTGGAAACCATCGTCCCTAGGAGGAGATGAAAATATGATAGGCCTTGTGCTGATGAAATATCAAAATGGCATAACAAGGTGTCACTTCATCACATCAAGGAACCTGTAGGGAAGAGGAAGCAAGGAGAACCAAGAACAGTGACGAAAGGGTCGATGAGCGACACTATCTAGAGGGAAGCCCAGCAGGACAAAATAAATTGGAAAATTGTTGCTGTCGACCTACAAGTTGGGACTGACATCAAGGCCTGGGGCAGCGAGTAAGTAAATAATGAACCGAACACAAACCCAGGGTTGCCGTATATTGTGACTAATGTACAGAACTTACAGGTCCAAAACATGCCATTGTGGTGAGGTTAGGCGGAATAATAAGTGTCAGAGGTCGAACGTTTTCACACTCAGATCAAGTCATTGACCAGATAACTTGGTCGACATAATTGAACTGATCAGCTGCATGCAGAAATCATAGTACGTGTTGTGTTGAACTGTGTCCTAATGCTTGTTTATAGTCAGTATCCCACGAAAAAGAGACATAGATTATATTTCTAAGAGCTGTCTTCAGAAATTTATTCTGATTATTGACCGGCATGGTCTGTATCGCGTTAAAGGTGTCGAATAGCCCAGTGGCTTGGCTAGCGGGCACGAGATTGAAAGGTCATGGGTTCGATTCCTTGCATTTCTGGATAGACGTTGTGTCCTTGGAAAATACACTTTACATAGTTGTCTTTCCTCACGGGTGTAAAATGGATACGAGACTTCGGTTGGGGAGGCAAAGTGTGGTGAAAGGAGAGGGATAGGCTCCACCTTCCAATACCGAGCCCTAGACACAGTAGGTTAACAACCCTGCCAAAATGGACATGGGACCTCCTTTGCACCCGTATCGCGGAGTGATACAAAGTCCTTCTCACAAAGTGATACAAGCTACGTAGGTGACAATCAATATGCCTGATGATTGAAGTAGTGCGAAAAGCTATTGTCGTCGAACTTAAACGTATCGCAGTTCGTCATGTAGAACATATTCATCAAAAGGAAAACGTTTCTATTAGAGTTTTGCTGTTTTGGGCATAAAAACTCTAAAGAAGTCATATCATAGTCTGACTTGGAATTGTTTGTTTGTTTATTTATTTATCCAGGATATACATGTCGCCTGTATGGCGGTTTTCAAAG